CTAATGACTCCATGGCCGAGCTTCTCCAACATGGCCGAGCTACTCACCCCATGGCTGAGTAACTTAACCCATGGCCGATTAACTCAGCCCGTGTTTGAGCTTCTCTTTCCATGGCCATGCCATTGGCCCCATGGACCAGTAGCAGAGCCCACATCCCCCAAGTTATTCAAATTGCGACCTGGAAAGCTGTGGCTCTTAAGAAGATATGTGCCGGCGCATGGCTTTATCCCACTCTTCAGCCCACCCACATCCTCTTATTAGTTGGATTGAATCTCACCCTTGGATTATGGATTATGGGCTCTAGGTCCGATAGGAGCACGTGCATGGCAAGGGCCCCCAACCTCCCTAGAGCCCACATCTCCTCCACTGGGGCATGTATTGGAATGTAGGATCCAGATTTGCATGTTCCAGTTAAGCGTCATCCAGTAAATTGTGATCCAGATAGGCATGATTCAGATAGGCATGATCCAGATAGGCATGATCCAGATAGGCATGATCCAGATAGGCATGATCCAGATTGGCATGATCCAGATTGGCATGATCCAGAAAGACATGCTTTAGTGCTGCCTCCCTCTGGGCATAGAATGCGCTAGTGTTCTCAAAAACCAGAATTCTTGAAAACCAGAATTCTTGAATACCAGCTTGAGTAATCAGCTTGCCCCCCTTGTGACATGAAATGCGCCAGTGTTGTGCAGGGCAACAATCTGACATGTGGCACGACTGTGACATTGTAACGAACTGAATTTTGAGTCGACTCTAAGTCGGCTTGGAGTGTGCTAGTGTTGTGCAGGACATGTGGCACTAATTCAAACAGATTTGGAGGGACAGAATCCGGATTGGGGGGGACTGTGTTGCTGCTGGCCCTTCAACAGTTGAGTTGTGAGACGTCGCAAAGCTGCACTTGTATCACACGGATGCACAGCTTTGCTGCTGCTGGCCCATCAACATGGACACAACTGTTACATTCGGGGGCAAGGCATGTGATACAAGTGCCGCTTTCAGACGTCTCACAACTACACTTCTGTCACCAGCTTTGCTGCTGCTGGTCCTTCACCATGCCCACAATTGTTACATTTCAGGGAAAGACAGGCACTCTGTTACTTCTGCAGCGCTTTGCTGCTGGTGGAGTTAGTTCAAACATTCACTATTTCACACGTGGTATGCTGCTTGAGCCCAGTGGTTGCTGGAAGATTGATTAGCAATGAGCATGCCGCTACGCGGTACCAGTTCCGCAAGATACACTTTTGGTATCCGCACCGCACGATGGCAAACTGGTTGTACCCTCGGTTGCAAGGGCAACAGCCAGTTGTCACTTCGTTACAGAAAACCCAACAGCCAAGTGGACACCGCGCTTCGTAAAAATCAAACTCCACTTTGCCACTTTCATACACCTGTACAAGCAGCCCTGTACAAGCAGGCATATTGCTGTCAGCATATCGAGACAGCTTATATAGGAACAGTCAGAAGTCAAATCTGGCCAGCTGAGCATGCGACTCTTCAACATCCTTCTGGGCCTTCTTCCTCCGATAGAATATGGGGCAATCACGGCTGCAGGGAGGAGTGAAGATAGCAGAACAAGGAGGAGTGAAGACAACAGAATATGGGACAGTCACGACTGCAGGGACAACAGTGTTGGGAGGAGTTAAGGCAACAGAATACGGGGCAGTTCCCGACTGCAGGAACAAAGAGAAACAGACGAGTGTGGAATGAGGCCAACCAGCCAACAGGGAGAAGAAAACAAGGTATGCTAGCAAAACCACCCAACCACCCCTACCACCCTCTACCACCCCCTACCACCCCCCACCACATCCTACCTGGTACAGAGCACATCTTGATGCAAGCTGCCCTGACACCGCTGGCACTCCACCCACAGCCTTCCGAACTGCTCCTCACACTCGCGCACTGCACAGTATGAGGCAGAGAGAGAGAGCACAGACAGAGAGCACAGACAGAGAGCAGAGAGACAGCAGACAGAGCACAGAGACCAAACAGACAGCACTGAGAGCAGTATGAGCATGCATATAAGAGCTCTCAAACGCACTCCACCCACAGCCTCACGAACTGCTCCTCACACTCCTGCACTGCACACATAAAGCACATACACGATTGCATAGATAGGGCTTGCACACTTCTGAAAGATGGGGGCGACTGGCACGCATAACCAACACAGCATGCAGCTCTGTTCCAAGGCACACGTCACGAATGTGACTGCATTGCATTGACTGGAGATGCTTCTGGCTAGCTTATACGACTTGTGGCTTGGCTTTAAAGCCGAATCAAAGCTGTATGTTGCGGTTTGAAGTGATGATGTTCAGTCGATTCAAACACTTTCTCCTCACCGGTTGCTGTGATTCGCTGGTAGATTTCGCCCTCTCGATCCATGCAGTGGGCACAGAGGGTTTGGGAATTGCCGCTGCCAGGAAAGGAACAGACGGGAAAGAAAAATCGAAAGAAGATGTGGAAAGAAGAAAAATCGAAATAAATGATCTTAGTACATACGGACACATCATGCTATTCAAACGGCACCTCAAGCACAGTACCTTCCCAATACATGATCGACAAAACAACAATCAGTGAATGGATTTTTCTCCTCAAAAAGACAATACTAGGGGAGGCGCTGCTTTACCTGAGAGGGGTCTTGCAGCCCAGGCACCGAGAGCCGGACTTTGGCGAATCGCATGATGCCACCTGTTGACGGCGTGGATATGGACACGGCGCGCGTGTGCGCCCCACTCAGCAGCTCCTTGCTGGCGTTCTTCAGGATGGGCTCGAATATCCGCAGCAGGGGCTGGGATATATATTGGGGTGTGTGTGGGGGGAGTGGCGGAGAGGGGGAAGGGAGACGAGTGAAAATGTGGGCCCCACTTAGAAGCTCCTTACTCGCGTACTTCAGAATGGGCTCAAATATTCGCAGCAGGGCCTGTCGGAAGGGAGAGAGTGAGTTGGGGAGGAAGGGGGGTGAAAGCTCATGAGAGTGTCGACGGCGTGGAGATGGAGACCGCACGAGTGTGTGCCCAACTTAACGGCTCCTTACTGGCGTTCTTCAGCATGGGCTCACCTTGCTGAGCTGCTTCTCCAGGTAATAGTGCGGGTTGATGGGAATGTTGTTTCAAGAAACACTCATGTGCTGAGACCTATGAGAAAACCCCTCTCTCACCTTGCTGAGCTGGTTCTCGAGGTAGTAGTGCGGGTCGATGGGAATGATGTTCTCAAGCACGATGGGGTCCTCGGACTTCTCGTATGCCTTGATCCCTTAGGGCGCCTTGCAGACAACATATGCCACTCTGTCCTCAATGCTCAGTTGCTCATTGTGCTCAGCTGGATCTCACCTTGCTGAGCTGGATCTCACGTTGCTGAGCTGGATCTCACCTTGCTGAGCTGGTTCTCGAGGTAGTAGTGCGGGTCGATGGGAATGTTATTCTCAAGCACGTGGATAGGGTCCTCTGACTTCTCGTACGCCTTGCTGCCCTTAGGTGCTTTGCAGATCACATATGCCACTCGATCCCCAATGCCCGGTGCAGTCGCCGGGTCACGCTGAGGGTGGGGGCGGAGAAGGGGGGGGGGGTCGCCAGGGGAAGAGAACAAAGTGGGTGCCTTGCAGATGGCATGCGCCACTCGAACTCCAATGCCCAGTGAGAAGTGAGGAACAAGAAGCGAGACGAACGATGGAGGGCATAGGTGGCACAAGAGAGACCGAGGAAGGACAGGCAGAGAGGATGAGCAGTCATGTTGTGAGACGTTTGAGTCGACTCAAAAGTCATGTTGTGAGACGTTTGAGTCGACTCAAAAGTCATGTTGTGAGACATCTCACAACTTGAAAACGCGCTGGCAGCAGGTGAGCAGCAAAGAAGGGCCTCCCATTTGCACCACCTGCAAAAAAAATACCTTGAAGTGAGCGTGAGCAACCTTGACTGCTCACGCTCATGCTCTAGCCGAATCACGACCTCACCTTGCGCATTCTCTCTGCAAGCTGAACGTGGGCTGCCTTGACCGCATAGTCGTCACCTCCCTTGGTTAACGCCTGGCGCAGTAGTGGAAAGGGAAGGAGGAAGATAGAAATGGAGGGAGGTAGGGAGGGAGTGAGAGGTTATTACAAGCAGTGAACCAGGCTGCATCCAGCGCTTAGCGCTTTGGCAGAATACTTTAGTGAAGGCGAGCAGCGAGTGGTCAAAGCTTCTGCACAAGGAGGTTCGTTCTGAATGAGGCTCCCTGACACATTGCACTGGAGTAGAGACAAGCAGCTTACCTTTGTGATGACCAGCAGCGAGAGATCGAGCTTGTTCATCAAGAGGTCGGAGATCACAGCCTTCACATACGCCACGGCTCCCGGTATGTCCCGCTCCATTAGGATTCTCCTCAGGCATTCGTCCACCACCTGCAGGTAAAGCAACCAAGTGTTGTCAGCGATTTCTCAAAAGCTATGCTGGGCCTTTTTGAGTAGACTGAACCGACGCCGCAGCAAAGGGCATCACTGGGAATGTGGCAGAAAGCAAACCCCGTTCCATAGCTAAGATATCATATGGGCAGTATGAAGAACTGGTTCCATGAAAATGGCTGAATAGCCAGGCCTCACCTGGCGGACTAGCAGACAGTTGTCTCTCCGAACCGTCTCAATACCTGCGAGGTTGAGAGGGGGGAAGGGAGAGGGGAGGTTGGATGAGGATGATGGGTAGACACCCGTACGAGACATTGACACCCGTACGAGACATTGACACCTGTACAAGACATTGACACCCCTATGAGACATTGACACCCATACGAGACATTGACACCCGTACGAGACATTGACACCCGTACGAGACATTGACACCCGTACGAGACATTGACACCCGTACTAGACATTGACACCCGTATGAGACATTGACACCCATACGAGACATTGACACCCGTACGAGACAATGCCACCCGTACTCTATATTTCTGATTCATCCTTGAGACTAGGATTGTACCTTTTATCCATCAAGCAATTGCTCTCGTACCTTTGGTGTCCATCTTGTCAAAGGCCTTTGAGTTGGACCAGTACAGGCCCGCGTAGCCCTTCTTGATAATCAGCAGGTAGGGGAAATACACCTTCTCACACACGGGTTCTTGCTGGTAGTACCTGCATCCTTGACAACACACCCCTCACTGGTCGTACCTTTAGTGTCCATCTTGTCGGCTGCCTTGGAGTTGGACCAGTACAGCCCCGGGTAGCGCTTCTTGATGATGCACTGCACACACATTCACGGAATCATACCTTCACTGGTCGTACCTTTGGTGTCCATCTTGTCGAATGCCTTGGAGTTGGACCAGTACAGCCCCGCGTAGCGCTTCTTGTTGATCAGCAGGTAGGGGAAATACACCTTCTCAAACTCAAGCCTGATTGGCTGGAACGAGAGCGGGGAAGTTAGAAAAATAGAGGAAGTTTTTGAACTTTGGTCTGATTGGCTGGGGCAGAGATACGAGGAGAGGGAAACAGATCCTTACAATCAGTATGTGACTGGGACGTGAGAAGATTCTCAAAATTCCACCAGGGACATGAGAAGATTCTCAAGGGCTAAAGTCTTGGGATAAGACAGGACTAGAGCATGCAGGAAAGGGCAAATTTTAACAGGGCAGGGTCTACTAACCTTAGGAAAGGTATCGGAGATCTCCTCTGCCGCCTGTCTGCCCATGCGCATAGCCTCTTCCACACTGTCCACGCCAAACATCACCATCACCGAGTCCGTGTCGCCATACACCACCTGCTAACCAAGGGGATTGGGGTTTAAGGCGTTTGAGGTTTGGGGTTTCAACGTTTGGAGGTGAAGGTTTAGAATGTGACATGGCAGCAGCAGCAGCAGCAAGCATGTGTGCCCATGCGCATGGCCTCGCCCACGCTGTCCGAGCCAAGCATCACCGAGTCAGTATCGTCATACGGCACCTGGCATGCATGGCGTTGGGGATTGAAGTTGAAGGTACGAAGTTAGGGGGTTTACGATGGCACACGGCTACAGCCCTACAACCTACATGGCACATGGCAGCAACAACAGCCTACTACGCCCTTCTTCTGGGTCCTCACTGTCCACGCCAAACGTCACCGAGATGACTTTTGAGTCGACTCAGATGTCAACGCCAAATGTCACCATCACAGAGTCAGTGTCACCAAACACCATTGTGAGAGCAGCCATTGTCGATGGAGTATTGCCGCTCAATAAACGAGGTGACTTCTGAGTCCACTCTAAAGTCACCAAGCGGATGAATGAAGGCAACAGCGGGCACTGGCTCGCCGCACTCACATCAGCATTGTGAGAGCAGCCATTGTCGATGGAGTCTTGCCGCTCGACAACTTCTGAGTCGACTCAAAACTCACATCAGCATTGTGCGAGTAGGCATTGACTCAAAACTCACATCAGCATTGTGCGAGTAGGCATTGACTCAAAACTCACATCAGCATTGTGCGAGTAGGCATTGACTTTTGCGGCGCCTCAAAAGAAGATGAATGAAGGCAACAGCGGACAGACACTGGCTTGCCGCACTCACATCAGCATTGTGAGAGTAGCCATTGTCGATGGAGTATTGCCGCTCGACAAACGCCCTCGTGTGCTCTATCATCTGCCGCCCTGCACACACACACACAGCAACCAGGAAAACAAAAACACGAAATGCTGCATGATTTCCTGTAGGTGTAACAGATGGTGCGCCCATCGCTGCTGGCACATTACTCACAGGCAGTTACGTGGTACGGTAATGGATGACTCGCTGCAGGCAGTAACGTCGTAACAATAAGTGACCATAGGCAGCAACGTCGTAACAATAAGTCACCATAGGAAGCAACGTCGTAACAATAGCTCACCACAGGCAGTAACGCTATAACAAATAATAACTCACCATAGGCAGCAACGTCGTAACAAATGACTCACCGTAGGCAGTAACGTGGTAACAAATGACTCACCGTAGGCAGTAACGTGGTAACAAACGACTCACGGTAGGCAATAACGTGGTAACAAACAACTCACCGTAGGCAGTAACGTGGTAACAAATGACTCACCGTAGGTAGTGACGTGGTAACAAACGACTCACCGTAGGCAATAACGTGGTAACAAATGACTCACCGTAGGCAGTAACGTGGTAACAAATGACTCACCGTAGGCAGTAACGTGGTAACAAATGACTCACCGTAGGCAGTAACGTGGTAACAAACGACTCACGGTAGGCAATAACGTGGTAACAAACGACTCACCGTAGGCAGTAACGTGGTAACAAATGACTCACCGTAGGCAGTGACGTGGTAACAAATGACTCACCGTAGGCAGTGACGTGGTAACAAACGACTCACCGTAGGCAGTAACGTGGTAACAAACGACTCACCGTAGGCAATAACGTGGTAACAAATGACTCACCGTAGGCAGTAACGTGGTAACAAATGACTCACCGTAGGCAGTAGCGTGGTAACAAATGACTCACCGTAGGCAGTAACGTGGTAACAAATGACTCACCGTAGGCAGTAACGTGGTAACAAATGACTCACCGTAGGCAGTAACGTGGTAACAAATGACTCACCGTAGGCAGTGACACTGGATGATATTTCAAGGCATGGCAGCGCACCGATAGTAGCACCAGTAAAGCCGTACACAGAGTTGGCACTGACCTGCTCACAGGGGAAAGTAGAGGGAGATAGGGGTAAGTAGAGGGGGATAGGGGTAAGTAGAGGGGGATAGGGGTAAGTAGAGGGGGATAGGGGTAAGTAGAGGGGGATAGGGGTAAGTAGAGGGGGATAGGGGTAAGTAGAGGGGGATAGGGGTAAGTAGAGGGGGATAGGGGTAAGTAGAGGGGGATAGGGGTAAGTAGAGGGGGATAGGGGTAAGTAGAGGGGGATAGGGGTAAGTAGAGGGGGATAGGGGTAAGTAGAGGGGGATAGGGGTAAGTAGAGGGGGATAGGGGTAAGTAGAGGGGGATAGGGGTAAGTAGAGGGGGATAGGGGTAAGTAGAGGGGGATAGGGGTAAGTAGAGGGGGATAGGGGTAAGTAGAGGGGGATAGGGGTAAGTAGAGGGGGATAGGGGTAAGTAGAGGGGGATAGGGGAACATGCGCTGAGAGAGAAGGAAGAGAGGGAAGCTGATAAGCTTGGCTGGATGTTGCTTACTTTGAGCGCCAGCTGTCGGCCGTCCAGCACTGCTTTCTCCAAGGGGTCCGTGGCTTTCTGCAATCAGTTAAAAAAACGGGAGAGGAGGGGGGAGGGGGGGGGAGAGGGGGGGGAAAGGGTGCGTGATCTCGACGGGACCCAGAAAACTGATAATACTTCTCAGCTGTCGGCCGTCCAGCACTGCTTTCTCCAATGGGTCAGTGGTTTTCTGCAAAGATTGGGGGCAGGGGGGGACTTTTGAGTCGACTCAAAAGAAGGGGGGGGCAGGGGGAGATGGAAACAGGAAAGTAAAAAGCCGCAAGAGTCATAAAATAATATTGCTTCGTGCAGTAGCAGTTGGAAACAAGAAGAGGGGCGAAGAGACAGGAATGGAGTGCAGCACAGAGCCAACGCCCGAGTGATCGGCTATTGAGTCGACTCAAAAGTGCATCTCTGGCAGCTCTTCCAGAATCTCTGGCAGAATGCTCTTGGCTGCTGCCAGCTTCACATTACAGGTGCTTTGAGAGAGTATGGGACATTGGGACATGCTCCGTGTGTAATGAGTCGATTTTTGAGTCAACTCATGTGTAATGAGTCGATTTTTGAGTCGACTCAAAAATCGACTCATTACACAGAGAGTATGGGACATTGGGACATGCTTTCAGGCACCTCAGAACGTCCCGTTCAGCATGCCTTCAAAATCGTACCTTGAGATCCGCCTTTGCTCTCTTCCTCGCTGCCAGCAGCTCCTCCAGGATCTCGGGCAAAATGCCCTTGGCTGCTGATGGCTTGACGAAAAGGTCTCCAGTGGGAGTGCAGGAGATCAGGTCGTCGGGCGGCCTGATGCCTTCGTTCTTGTGCACCTGATGGGGTGTGAGTGATGCGGTGGATGATGGAGTAAATCATCGCGCGTGCCAGCGTGCGTGCATGTGTGTATGTATGTATGTGTGTGTGGATGTGTGGTCGTGAGTGCACTCCTCTTCTCTCTCCACATGCTGACCAGAGGGCTGTGGCTGACCTTATGAGCTGTCATGATGGAGGGTCTATCAACGCGAAGTCAAGGGTTGCAGAGAGGGTATGGTTGTTTGTTTGTGCACACATGTGTGTGTGGTGGGGGGGAGGTTGTGGGAGGGAGGCGTGTGTGTGTTTCTCTTATCACTAAAGACTCACCAGCGTGCAGTAGCAGAGGTTGTGGGCCATCATGATCGAAGGGTACAGCGACGCAAAGTCAAGGGTGGCCACGGGGCGTTCATAGAAGCCCTGCTTCGGCTCCAGGACGGTTGCCCCCTCGTATGTTGCATCTGCTGCACCCACGCCCTGCACCTTCATGTTGGGGACTAGTAACCCTCTTTGCCGTGCCTTGCGCAGTATTTGCGAGAGCACCTGGGGTGTGTGTGTGTATGTGGGTAGGGGGAGAGGGGAAGGGGAGAGGGGAAGGGGAGAGAGGAGGGGGAGAGGGGAGGGAGGGAGGGGAGGGGGAGAGGGAGGGCGCTCATTGAACCCCTCTTTGGCTCCAGCACCGTTGCCCCCTCGTATGTCGCATCCGCTGCTCCCACGCCCTGCACCTTCATGTTGGGAACCAGCAGCCCTCTCTGCCTCGCCTTGAGCAGGATTTGGGAGAGCACCTGGGAGGAGGGTTCAGGGTTTCACAGGTGTTAAGAGAGCATTGAAAGACATCAGTGCGCCCTGGTATGTTGCATCCGCACCACAGCACCCACGCCTGGCACCTTCATGTTGGGAACTAATAGCCCTCTCTGCCTCGCCTTTCGCAGTATTTGTGAGAGAACCAGGGGTGTGTGTGTATGTCGGAAGGGGGGGAGGGGGGGAGGGGGAGAGGAAGGGCGTTCATAGAAGCCCTGCTTCGGCTCCAGCACCGTCGCCCCCTCGTACGTTGCATTTGCTGCACCCACTCCCTGTACCTTCATGTTCAAAACTAGCAGCGCTCTCTGCCATGACTTGATCAAGACTCGATTGAGAGAGCATCTGGGGTGTGTATGTGGGCAGGGGGAGAGGGAAGTACGTTCAAAGAGCCCCTGCTTTAATCGCACGCCTTCATCAAAGCTCATGAGAAGCATCATGAGCTTCTCCAACCGCCTCATTCCCGCCTCAGATTACAACCAGTGCACCTCCCAAGCGTCCGTACCTTGATGCTTTGACCCCGAGCCAGCAAAAACGAGATGGGCACGCCGGTGACGAGAGCCATTTCCCCGTAGCTGTGCACCATCATGAGCTTCTCATGTGCACCATCATGAGCTTCTCCAGGAGCCACTGCAGCAGGTGTGCCCTCTCTTACCACCCCCCCCCCCCCCCCCCCTCCTCTCCCTCCCCCCCAGCATACCTTGATACTTTGGCCTCGAGCGAGCAGAAACGAGATGGGGACACCCGTAACCCTGGCCATTTCCACGTAGTTGTAGACCATCATGAGCTTCTCCAGCAGCCGCTGCGGCAGGTACGCGTCCTTGAGGCAGTACACGGCGAGGCGGCGGCGGGTTTGAGCGTCGCCGTTCTGAAGGTCGGCTATAATGGAGTGGTGCACGTCTTCCTTCTGCTCGTGTGGGGCGGGAGAGGGGCAAGAAGCACCATCCATATACGCACATGTGATTGATAGAAGAACATAGGGTGGTGGAACCACATAAGTCTGAGCGTCTCAGTTCTGAAGGTCCGCAATGATGACGTGATGCACGTCCTCCTTCTGCTCATACCAGCCCATTCGGTACACACACACACACACACACGCACACACGCACACACACACACACCCTTCATACGCACGCACGCACGCACGCACACACACACACACACACACACACACAACACAAGAAGAATTGTTACACAGGGGCATTCGCATGACATCATGCGTGAGGAGGAGTCTATTTTTGAGGCGCCTCACAAAGGGACCTCATAGGCTGCCAGCCATTCCACTGAGCAATTCTGCAGAGAAAGGAGGAGCTGTCTGTTGGAGTGAGATGTCTAGCTCTCTCGGCAACCATTGCACTGAGACATAGGAGTTGAAGTGAGGGGAAACTGAACCTGCTCGTCCCGAAGGGTGCGGAGAGAGAGTTCAGAGAGTAGAAGCCGAGCCTTCCTCTAAACGAACGGTCATCAGCAGATAAAACTGTTCCGTTTCAATTCTCAAGAGGCAAGCACGTTACCAAAGAGAGAGGGAAAACTGAACCTGCTCGTTGAGGAAGTGTGCAGAGACGGAGTTGAGCGAGTAGGAGCTGAGCTTGTGATCCCTCTGAATGGCCACCAGGAGATCAAACTGCACCCGCCCGTCCAGAGTCACCTCCTTGGATTCCCTCGTGCCGTACTGCCTGCGTTGGGAAACGGGCAAGGAAAAAACAAAAAAGGCAGAAAAGGCAAAAGAAAAAGAAGAAAGAAAAGGTGGGGAGGGGGGACGAAGTTGCCACCAGCTGATCAAACTGAATGTAAAAAAGAATGTTCTTCTGGAGCAACAGACTTTTTCCGGGGTCGACTTGGTCGAGCACAGACCTGGACTGGAAGCGGGTGTCTTTGAGTACTCGACCGGGTCGACCCTGAAGCCTGGAAAAAGTCTGTTGCTCCAGAGGACTCAAAAATCACCTACAGACCTGGACTGGAATCGAGATGACTTTTGAGTCGACTCGAAAGTCATCTCGACCGGGTCGACCCTGGAAAAAGTCTGTTGCTCCAGAAGAACATTCTAATCACCTACAGACCTGGACTGGAATCGGGTGTCCCGCATCTTCAGCTGGGTGTTGAGGATTCGACCGAGAAACGGGAAGGTCTTCAGGTTGAGCTTCTCAGCCCTCTGCGTGGGTCGAGTAACGGGAATAGGCAGCAGAGGTCAGAGGGCCAAATAAAGCACACACAGCATCAGGCAGCTTTATTTGGCCCTCACACAGCCAGCAACATCGGTGAGTGCAACAGGGATGCTAATGAGGTGACTTTTGAGTCGACTCAAAAGTCACAACAGGGATGCTAATGAGGTGACTTTCGAGTCGACTCAAAGTCTATTGTTGAGGCGCCTCAAAAATAGACTCCTCACAACAGAGATGATAATAATCAATGCTTCAGACGATAATCAGCCAATCGCTTGCACAAACAAAACCTATGCTGCTATGCAAATGCAATAGGTCAGGACACAATGTGCCCCCTCGAGGTTCCACCTTTGTTGATCATTCCACTCTACCAATTCCCTCCTTACACGCAGCACCTCGATTGGTTCCCCTTCATTTACACCCCATCGCATATAACCCCACCTCGATCAAATAGGGCAGATCAAACTTTTGGATGTTGTAGCCAATGATCATGTCGGGATCTGTCGCCTGGATGAGCTCCTGAGGAGAGAAAAGCGAATGGAAGAGGCGAGCGTGAGGGAGGAGAAGGGATGGTTTACTCAGGAGAGAAGGTATACCACACCCCTTCTCCTGAGAAGAATGGCAAGTACAAAACCAGAAGGGGGTAAAAACAGATCAACACCGCGTGATAGGAGTCTAGTTTTGAGGTCTAGTTTTGAGGCGCCTCAAAACTAGACTCCTCAGAAGAATGGCAAGTGCAAAACCAGACGGGGGTAAAAAGAGATCAACACCGGATGAACAAACCTAGCTTCAATTCAAGCCATCGAAACCACCATCCACACCAGCAGAAACACCCACCTTGTCAGTGGAGCAGTCAAGCTCCTCATTCGCGCACCTTCCATGCCAGCAGCAGCTGCTGCTGCTGCTCCGTCTCAAACGACACCACCTCGCACCTCACTATGGCCGCGCACGAGTTAAGCGTCAAGACGGTCCGGACCAGCGGTCGACTGCTGCCCTGCTGGGACACGATGTTGGCGATCTGAATCAAATGACCAGGTCGTGCTCCGGCTCTGGCTCTGGCTCACATGAGCCTAACTACCTTTGAGGCGCCTAAAAAAATCCATGCGTGAGGAGTCTGTTTTTGAGGCACCTAAAAAATAGACTACTAACTACCTTTCATGGCAACAGAAGCACGCACCTTCCATGCTAGCAGCAGCTGCTGTTCCGTTTCAAACGACACCACGTCGCACCCCACTATGGGCGCACAGGAGTTGAGTGTGAGCACGGTGCGGACCAATGGCTCATACAGACCCACCTCATAGCAACAGAAGCACGCACCTTCCATGCTAGCAGCAGCTGCTGTTCCGTTTCAAAAGACACCACGTCGCACCCCACTATGGGCGCACAGGAGTTGAGTGTGAGCACGGTGCGGGCCAACGGCTCATACAGACCCACCTCATAGCAACAGAAGCACGCACCTTCCATGCTAGCAGCAGCTGCTGTTCCGTTTCAAAAGACACCACGTCGCACCCCACTGTGGGCGCACAGGAGTTGAGTGTGAGCACGGTGCGGACCAACGGCTCATACAGACCCACCTCATACCAACAGAAGCACGCACCTTCCATGCTAGCAGCAGCTGCTGCTCCGTTTCAAACGACACCACGTCGCACCCCACTATGGGCGCACAGGAGTTGAGTGTGAGCACGGTGCGGACCAACGGCTCATACAGACCCACCTCATAGCAACAGAAGCACACACCTTCCATGCTAGCAGCAGCTGCTGCTCCGTCTCAAACGACACCACGTCGCACCCGACTATGGGCGCACACGAGTTGAGTGTGAGCACAGTGCGGACCAGCGGCTCGCTGCTGCCCTGCTGGGACACGATGTTGGCGATCTGGATCACCGGGTCGTGCTCGGGCTCTGGGAAGTGCCCCTTGCGCCCGCTGCACTCGATGTCGAAGCTGAGGATGCGGAAGGGGGCCATGCGGGACCACTGGCCCGTGCCCTCATGGCTGACTAGGTCGGAGTAGCTGGTGGGAGGGATAAGCAGCGAAGAAAGGGAGAGGAAGGCAAGAGAGGGAGAAGCTGAGACTGTGGAAGGGAGCCATGCACGACCACTGGCCCACGCCCTCATGGCTGACTAGGTCGGAGTAGCTGGTGGGGGGGGGAGGGAAGGGGGAACGGGGGTGGGAGGGGAAGAGAGGGGGGGGAACGGGGTTGAGAGGGGGAGAGAAGGGGGGGAGGAAGGAGAAGCTGAGGATGCAGAAGGGGCCCTACCTCAGCTCTCTCGTGCATCTGGTACGTCGTTCCATCACGTCATACATCAGACTGCTTGTATAGCCACATTCTTGCACACAATCACACTCACATAATATCAACCTCCGGCTGGCACACTAACAGCTTCCGCCTGTCCAGGTTTGACTTTCCAGTTTCGTCAACAATCAAACATTCACACAATTATACCCGTTAAATATCAGCTTCCGGAATATCACTCACTAGGATGTTACTCACAGAATATCGACCTCCAGCTGGCACGCTGACATCTTTCGCCTGTCCTCGCGCACGCGGTACGTGCCAGCTGGCAGCGATATCCAGTTGCCGCCGGTGACGTGGCAGTCGATCATGAAGCGCAGCGCAAAGAGCACGTTGCTCTCATAGGTGGTGGAGGGAAAGTGCGACCCGTTCCACTCGAATCCGCCCTCGAAGAATGCTGGAAGCAGTTTGGAAGGGGGCGATAAGAAGGGGAACGAGACATGGCTGGCAGTCGATCAACAGGGGCAGCGCAAGCAAAGAGCATGTTGCTCTCGTAGGTGGTGGAGGGGAAGTAAGACCCCTTCCACTCGAATTCACTTCACTCTCAAGGGAAGCTGGAGTGTATTTTTTAGAATTCTCAAAAACACCCGGCCAATAAGAACGGTACACGCAAGGGCGAATAGTTACAACTGTGTTGGTTGGTAACGCATCAACAATCATTTTTTTTAACCACTCAAACATCAACAATCGGCTGTATGTTGCTAATCAGCACTGCTCTCGCCTCTCCACGGAGCCACCACCACAGTGGGCAGCAGAGCGAGTGTTATCTAAGATTTTGAGGTGCCTCAAATTTTAAGGCAACTTCTAAGGCCCCTCGAATTTTGAGGGACATTTTGATTGAGCTCCCTCGAATCTCGAGGCAGGCTCCGAGGCCCCTCCAAGCTTTCAACAGCCGAGCTCACCTCTGCATGGTTCTGAGGCTCTGAGGCTCCTCCAAGCTTTCAACAGCCGAACTCAACTCTACTCAACTCAGTAGAATGCTGGCTCCAATCTAGAAGTTGCAGAGTAACAGTCAGTCGGTTACACGTTGGTGATCAGCCGAGCTCACCTCTGCACGGAGCCACCATAGTGGGCAGAGCGAGTGTGATCTTAAGGAATGTCTTCTTATCGGGGCCTTGATAGTACAGCAGCCCCTGCGCTTTAGTCACCTCCACGTTTAACACCACCACTCCTTTCGCCTGACCTCTTTCCTGCAGTTTACACGAGCATTCACAAGAGCGGTTACACGAGTCACCAGGTGACTTTTGAGTTACACGTGCAGTTACACAAGTAATTACACATGCAGTTACATCGGGGTGCACATCCACACGCAAATACCCATACACAGTGTTAAGATTCGAACCTATGAGAGTCAGCAAGAACCAAGTGCCCCCAATCACTCTACATAGTTGTGAAAATTGCCTAAAGACTTCTCAAAGCAAACCTATATAGTTTTGAGACGCCTCAAAAACGAACCCTATGAGAGTCACTAAGAACCACGTGCGCCCAATCACTCTACACTTGAGTCGACTCAAAAGCACGTGCCCCCAATCACTCTACATAGTTATGAAAATTGCCTAAAGATGTCTCAAAGCGAAGCTATATTCGTGTGGCCAGCCGGTGACTTGAGTGGGACGAAATTGGGTGTGGAAGCCAACAAACGTCACAGAAGGTCTATTTACTTTACCGGCTTGAGAAAAGGAAGCCCAAAAACGTCAAAAGTGTGTGACGTGACTATACCGAGAGTTGGGTGTGGAAGGCAGCAACATCATCGTATGTGAATTGCGTAGGCGCCATCACGTAGAAGTACGGCAGGAAGCCATGCACCATGGCGCACACACTGTTCCCTGGAAGCATACAGGGAGATGCCCACGAGGGAGGGAAAGGGAGAGGGTAGAAAAGGCATGGGTAGGGAGGACGGGGGGGAGGCGCCATCACATAGAAGTATGGCAGGAAGCCATGCACCATGGCGCACACACTGTTCCCTGGAAGCATAAGGGTGTAAAAAGGATAGGGGGTGAAACAGGGGGGTTTAGTAAAAGCAGGAAGCCATGCCATGCACCATGGCACACTCACTGTTGCCTGGAAGATTACGGGGAGATGCCCATGAGGGGGGGAAGGGGGGGAGGGGTAGAAAAAGCAGGGGCATCAAGAAAGGGGGGGAGGTGCCATCACGTGACAGTATGGGAGAAAGCCAGCACCATAGCACACACACTGTTGCCTGGAAGCATGAGGGGGGAAACACAAGAGGTGAAACAAGGGAGATAGTAATGCACACGGTTGAAGAAAAACTTCAGTGGTAGATATGGGGGATGACGGGAGCGAGGTGACCTTTGAGGGTCGACTCCAAAAGGGGGAAACATAAGAGGTGATTCAAGGGAGATAGCCATGCACCATCATCGCTCACACCATACAAGGGAGATCGTCATGCACCATCATCGCTCACACCATGCAAGGGAGAGGTTGACGAAAATCTACAGCAGCATATGGGGGATGACGGTAGTGAGAGGTGAGGTGGCCGTTGAGTCGACTCAAAGGTGACCTTTGAGCACCATCGCTCACACATGGTTGACGAAAATCTACAGCAGCATATAGAGGGGGATGACGGGAGCAGGGGAGAAGGAAGGAGAAAGGAAGACATTTGTGCAGTGGACGGAAAATAAGCCACAGGCATCGGTTAGAAAAAGGGTACTTACCATGTTCGTTGACGCCAAATATGCGCAGCACAGCGGATTGCTTGTAGTGAGTCTTGAAGGGTGAGTCAGATGTTAGGTAGTAATCGATGTCTAGCTGCTGGAACACTGAGAATGTGGGAAAAAGAGGGTGTGGTAAGAGGTAGAAGCTATGTTTGATTTTGTATGCGCAGAGCAGCCGACTGATTGAGGTGAGTCTAGAAGGGTGGGTCAGATGTTAGGTAGTAATCGATGTCTAGCTGCTGAAACACTGCAAGAATGTGGAGGACAGAGGATCGGAGAGTATTCAACTTATGTCGAGCGCCCTCACAGTTCTATCCTTGAAAGACAAAGACTATGCAGAGAACAAGCACCAAGGAGCAACCATCCCCATCCATGCATGCTGACGTACATGCCCACTGAGACGTAAATGCGTATTCACATGATGCCTCCTACATCCACTATAAGATACACCATGCACGTTAACGCTAATATGCTACCAGCGGCAGCCTTCTCACCTATGTCGGAGGCTCTAGGGTCGAAATCCGCCACCGGTTGCCGCCGCCACTTAGCTAAAAGCGGCTGCAGCTGGCCCATCTGTCCCACTCGCCGCGCCTCTTCCTGCGCCGCCTGCGCCGCCTGCTCCGCTCTCTGGATCGAATCCGCCTCGTCGCCCGCCATCATAATCATCATCGCCTCGTCGTCTTCCATGTGTTCGTCGCCCCCTCCGAGGAGTCCCCCGTCGCCGATCGCCATGGCTTCGTCCACCTCCTCCTCTTCCTCCTCCGTCCCCACCGCCATCGCCGTCGCGTCGCGTTCTACTTCGTCGCGTCGCGACGGTGGAATCCCGCCGCGCGCGGGGAACGGCCGTTTCGACGAGGCGGCGTATGCGGGAGGGCCACGCGGCCGCTTGCTTGAATCCATGCCGATATAGGCTTCTACTTTTTATTAGCGGAAGGCGCTAACGAAATTGAATAAGCTGTCGATTAATAAGCGTGCTTCTCCGGGACAAAAGTGGCGATGCAGCCACTAAGTCAACGGTACAGACACTGGACTCCTGAACTGGTCTCCGTTTGTTGGAGAAAGCACTCCAACTCAAAGTTGGAGGTAAAGTCGTAGATTCCGAATTTCGAAAATTTGAACTGGAGCAGGACGAACGTTGTGTGCCAACATCGATGGAAGGGAGACAAACCTCGAGGCTGCACCGATTAGTTGAAATAACGCGATGAGAGAAGGGAATGTACACCGACGTCGTGCACAGTGAATAAACAAATGTGAATCTATTCGGTCAAAAGCTAGCACTTCTGCTGCCACGCAAGCACCCCCGAACCAAGCGGTACAGGCACTCGGCCAAGCCTTGATGGTGTGCCGAGCGTCGCCGAACCAGGTAGCTTGCTTGGGCACGACGGCTGCGTCGCTTCGTTCTCCACGAGCCTTGGCACCTTCGCCGTATCGCACCGCAGCCCACACCACCAAATCTGACTAGCTTATGAGTCAGACTCATACTGACTCAAAAGCAAACCTCACTGGTGCCTGGAGTAAGGAGGCACAGTAGATGCATTCTGAAACAGAACGGAGCTTCCCTTTCCGTAATGAACACTGCTCATACCTGCTCAACAAGAAAGCCCGTCTTCTTGGTTTTCCGCGTAAACTCCCCCCAGACACCAGTCATTCTGCACTAGCTAGAGCTGCGCAGTTTTTATCAGAGTTTATGGACGTGCTCGAGGATCCCAAGGGCCGACCTAGGAATTAGTGCTCCCTATTTCTTCCAGGCAGTCAAATTGCAGCTTATTGGAGCTGGAGTTGTGCAGAGTCATTTATTTCTTCTCATGGACGTGCTCGAGGATCTCAAGGGCCGGGCTAGGAAAGCGGCGGAGCAGCTCTCGCTGCTCCTCGCCCCACGCGTGTCGAGCTCTCCTTCTAATCTCGGAGCGGGGAACGAGAATCAGTGCGCTCAGCCAACTCCTTCCCCTGGAAGCCACCCTAAAACAGACAGTAGCGGAAATAGCGGGAAAAGGGGAACGGATGTCGTCAGGAATGCTCGTTCGCGAAAAAGGACGCCCGGCCGGCGGTCAAGAAAGGACGGAACGTACCGAAAAGGCTCAGGCACGAATCATTCCGAGAGGCATGAGACTCAGACGGCTCAGGTGGATGACTCTTGGCCGCGGGAGGTAGCGGAGATAGGCTCGTTTGCAAACCTAGTCCCGGGGTTTGCCTTCCGTCAAGAGCCGGCGTTCAGTGCTCGGAATCCGCCGTCATCGTCATCGTCGTCGTCGTCGTCCTCCTCCTCGCCTCACTCACCTTCACAAGTTCCCTCGCACGCTTCTTCCTCCGGCTCCTCCCGCTCCTCCCCTTCCACGCATGGTTCGTCACACAGCCCTCGACTATTCCCGCCTCGCTCCCCGTCTTTTCCCCCTCTCCTTCCGCCAGCCCTTCCCCCGGTTCCCCCGGTTCCTCCGCCAGCCGTTCCGCCGCGTTCCGCCCCCCCGCGGGAAGCGTCCCCTCCGGAAGCTAGGTCGTCCGCGCCATCCCCCCCGGGAATTAGGTCTTTATTTGAGGCACCGCGGAAATCCTTCCCCGGCTGGGAGCTGGTACGCGGGCAGCCGTCGCGCCACAGTCTGCTTCACCGGCTCGCGTCGAGGGTTTCGCGGCCAGAAGGGGGTTCCGAGGGGGGGATGGACGGAGACGGAGGAGAGAACGAGGCAATCCCGAGGTGGGACGGCGGGTGGGAGCGACGGCACGGCAGCTCTGCCGGCTGGCCGGCAGCGGACGGCAGCAACAAGAGCGTTCCGTCAGTGGATGTAGAGCCGGCCAATGAGAGAGTCGAGATTCTGGTGCTGCGAGGCCCAGAGGGGGGAAAGACGGCTTCTCAGGAGGATGCGAGAAGAAAGAAAGGAGCAGTGCCCGGGCAAGGAGGGGGACATGTGGGAGAGCGCGTGGTAGGGCGTGTGGTAAGGCATGTGGGGAGCACTAGTATAGATGTACAAAGTAGTAGAGTCTCTTCTGTTGGGCGTCCTGCTGAAGAAGCTGGTTCTCCCTTGGACTGTCCTGTGGATGCTGGTTCTGCTAGTACGGATAGCTTGGGCCTCTTGCGTAAGTGTATCAGGCAGGTCTCCAGCCTTTTACCGAAGCAAGGCCGTAACGAGGACGGGGATTCCGTCCCCAGCAGGGAGCTCGCTGTATCGTCCAGAACTCGTTATAGAGACTCTCTTAGCGAGGACAGAACGGGAAAAGGACTAGAAGAGGCTGAAGTGGGTCGTACACCCGGCAAATTGGGGCTATTTCGAAGGTTATCCATCGGTCTAGGGGGGTGGAGGGAGGGCGCAAGTGGGGAGGAAGTGCGGGAGGGGATGGGCGCAGCGGAGACACTATGGGGCAGAGAAACAAGCACGAATTCAAGGGAAGGCAATGGGATGGGGATGGGGATAGGCGGGCTGAATGCACCCTTCGGAAGATCCACAGCTTCGTTTGCAAGAAGGAGAGCAGCAGGAGGAGCAGCAGGACTAGGAGGAGCGGGATTAGGGGGGGGAGGAAATGGGTCAGCGCCAGGGGGGCGGATCTCAGTGGTGCAGCTGCGGGAGATGGTAGAAGCAAACCCCGAGGCGTTTCTGCGCGCCTTTGATTCCGTGGCCAAGCGGATGGAGGCGGCGCGCAAGAGGCGGACCGTTACGGTTACCAGCAAGTACAACTCGCGGACCGACATCCTCCGATCCGCAGTCTCCTTAGACATTCCCTCCGTCTCGCCCTTTCCCTTCCCGCTCCCGTCCCTCGCACGCCTGCCCTTCTTCTCCTCCCCCTCCTCCAACTCCTCCTCCTCCTCCTCATCTCCCTCCTCCTCCTCCTCGTCCTCCTCGTCCTCCTCGTCGTCCTCCTCCTCCTCCGCCTCCTCACCCCCCTCCTTCCCGTTGCGCATCAGAGCAGTGGCAGAGGGTCGCCCCTCCTCCCCCTTCACTCGTTTCTCCATCGCCCCTGAACTCGGCCCTCTCCGCCTGAGATGGGATCGACCCCGCCTGGTCCCTTCCTTCGGTGCCACTTTACACTCAGGAGACAACTCCCTCGTGCAAGTCTTCCACGATCTGCAGGTGCGCTCACACGTGGTTAGGTGCTTTAAGCAGGAGATTGCCCCTGCTCTCTCTTCACCCGTTTCTCCATCGCCCCTGAACTCGGCCCTCTCCGCCTGAGATGGGATCGACCCCGCCTGGTCCCTTCCTTCGGTGCCACTTTACACTCAGGAGACAACTCCCTCGTGCAAGTCTTCCACGATCTGCAGGTGCGCTCACACGTGGTTAGGTGCTTTAAGCAGGAGATTGCCCCTGCTCTCTCTTCACCCGTTTCTCCATCGCCCCTGAACTCGGCCCTCTCCGCCTGAGATGGGATCGACCCCGCCTGGTCCCTTCCTTCGGTGCCACTTTACACTCAGGAGACAACTCCCTCGTGCAAGTCTTCCACGATCTGCAGGTGCGCTCACACGTGGTTAGGTGCTTTAAGCAGGAGATTGCCCCTGCTCTCTCTTCACCCGTTTCTCCATCGCCCCTGAACTCGGCCCTCTCCGCCTGAGATGGGATCGACCCCGCCTGGTCCCTTCCTTCGGTGCCACTTTACACTCAGGAGACAACTCCCTCGTGCAAGTCTTCCACGATCTGCAGGTGCGCTCACACGTGGTTAGGTGCTTTAAGCAGGAGATTGCCCCTGCTCTCTCTTCACCCGTTTCTCCATCGCCCCTGAACTCGGCCCTCTCTGCCTGCGGTGGGACCGGCCCCACCTGGTGCCGTCCTTCGGAGCCACTTTACACTCTGGAGATAACTCGCTCGTGCAGATCTTCCACGACCTGCAGGTGCGTTGACATGTTCCTGAGGGACTTTAAGCAGAGGGCCGCCCCTCCTCCCTCACCCCTGAAATCGGCCCTCCCCACCTGCGGTACGGTGGGACCGGCCCCGCCTGGTGCCGTCCTTCGGAGCCACTCTACACTCAGGAGACAACTCCCTCGTGCAGGTCTTCCACGACCTGCAGGTGCGTTAAGGGTTGAGTTCTGAGGGTCCTCTTTACCTGAGATGGTATCGCCACTGCCTGGTGCCATCATTCGGAGCCACTCTACTCTCTGGAGACAACTCGCTCGTGCAGGTCTTCCACGACCTGCAGGTGCGTTAAGGGTTGAGTTCTGAGGGTCCTCTTTACCTGAGATGGTATCGCCACTGCCTGGTGCCATCATCACTCTCTCTGGAGACAACTCGCTCGTGCAGGTCTCCACGACCTGCAGTGCGTTAAGGTGAGTTCTGATCTCTTTACCTGAGATGTATCGCCACTGCCTGCCATCATTCGGACCACTCCCTCACGACCTGCAGGTGCTTCCTCTACCTGAGGTCGCTGCTGCCATCCCCACTCTACCTCTGGAGACAACTCCTCGCAGGTCTTCCACGACCTGCAGGTGCGTTCCCAAGCTTCAGCACGTGCACGTTCCATGCAGGTTAAAAATTCGACCATGGGATCGACCCCACCCACCCCACCACCTGCCATGCCTTGCAGGAATGCTCTACCTGTCAGTTGCATGGCTTCTATCTTAGGCGCCTCAAGAAGACACCTTGGGACCGACCCCCCACCCCTGCCACGCCTTGCAGGACCGCTTCAACTGTCAATCGCATGGTTCCTGTGACATGTCAGACCCCCAACCTCCCTCCCTCCTCCCTTCCGCACCCCCTCCATCCTTTCCTCCCCCCTCCCCCCTGCTCCCACTGTGCCCCATTTTCCACCACAGGAGCGCCCAAGCCGCCGAACAGCGCTCATGGTGGGGTGGTGGGCTCGCTCCATGGCCTACCGTGCCATCCTCTCACTCAAGCTGCCTGCCTGCCATGTGGTATGTGCATCTAAAACCCGCATGCTCTCATCCTCACATCATCTCATTCTTTCGTGCTCGCATGCTCTCATGCTCGCATGCTCTTGTGCTCTCATGCTCCCATGCTCGCATGCTCTCATGCTCTCATGCTCTCATGCTCGCATGCTCTCGTGCTCTCGTGCTCTCGTGCTCGCATGCTCTCGTGCTCTCGTGCTCGCATGCTCTCATGCTCTCATGCTCTCGTGCTCTCGTGCTCTCGTGCTCTCGTGCTCTCCTGCTCTCATGCTCTCGTGCTCTCGTGCTCTCGTGCTCTCGTGCTCTCGTGCTCTCGTGCTCTCGTGCTCTCGTGCTCTTCTGCTCTCGTGCTCTCGTGCTCTCCTGCTCTCCTGCTCTCCTGCTCTCCTGCTCTCCTGCTCTCGTGCTCTCGTGCTCTCGTGCTCTCGTGCTCTCATCTTCATGTTCTCATGCTCGCTCCATGGCCTACCGTGCCATCCTCTCGCTCGAGATGCCCGCATGCCATGCGGTTTGTGCCTCTCACGCTCCCCTCATCCAATTCCCGCTGCCCTCATGCTCACTCCACGGCCTACTCTGCCATCCTCTCTCCCTCATCCAATTCCCTCCCCACCCTCCTTCTCATCAGGGCATGCCTTCTCATCAGGGCATGCTGTGGTTTGACTTCCCCCCGGGGCGAGTTTCTGCTGAACCGAGTCCATGGGGTCAGGCCCAGCCTCTTCCTCCTCTTCTTCTCTAAAGCACCCTGTACTGTAACCCCCCTTCACCCACTCCTTGTCCTCCCCCCCTCCCCCTGTCTCTTCTTCCCCCCCCCGTCAAGACATGCTGTGGTTTGACTTCCCCCGGGGCGAGTTTTGGCTGAACCGAGTCAACAGGCCCAAGGCCAGCCTCTTCCTGCCACTCTGTACCGCTCAACACATCTTCATACCTTTTCCCCCTCCATCCCTTCCTTATCCCTCTCCCCCCTGCAGGACATGCTGTGGTTTGACTTCCCGCGGGGCGAGTTCCTGTTGAACCGGGTCAACGGGCTCAAGGCCAGCCTCTTCCTGCCATGCAAGCATACGAGAGGAGTGCTGCAGGTGGAAGGGCGCTCGCCAGACACTACCACTGTGGGGTTTGCTTACCAGGTAGAGCATGCTAAAACTGCTGCGTTTGCCTAACACTCACCTAGGTGAGTGTCTTCCTGTGCAAGCCTCTGAGGGGCGTGCTTCAAGTAGAAGGGCGGTCGCCGGACACAGCCACTGTGGGGTTCTCCTATCAGGTAGGGCTTGCTGTTCAGTGGGGTTTACCTGCCACTCACCTGTGCAAGGCGAGCCGCTGAGGGGCGTGCTGCAGGTGGAAGGGCGCTCGCCAGACACTGCCACTGTGGGGTTTGCATACCAGGTAGGGCTTGCTCAACTCTTGCCACTGTGGAAAGGAGTTATTGCACCTAACAGATACTACTGGCCTGGGCTTTGCTTATGGGGTGTGTTTCTCGCGCAGCCATTTTGGCTCTTTTTATCATGGAAGTGTGGAGAAAATGCAGGAACTTGCGATCCTCACTTCCTTTTCCTCCCTCCCTCCCCCCCTTCGCCATCTTCCCTCGCTCCTCCCTTCTCCAGCACCCCTTTGGAACGCGTATCACTCCTTCGTTCTCTCTTGCCGACCGGGGCGTGTCAGTGGACGTACTGCAGCCGATCACAGTGCGACAGCTGGGGCCCGCTGTCAAGCCCGAAGCTCAAATACGGTATGAAGCTTAATCCGATTATGAGGGGTGTTTTTCTAATTCTGTCAACTAGATGTAAAAACATTTTCTGTAGAAGCCATCATTAACACTGGAAACAGATGGCAGCAGATATCTTGACACTGGCACTTGTAGTAGGGTGCGTTCATCACTCCACCCTGTAGCAATTTTCTTTTCTTTTCTTTTCTTTCCCGCTCTTGTCTTGTTCACTTGACTTTGTGGTACGTTTTCCTCTCACCATCCGCTTTCCGTTCTCGAGACCCACTCTCCCAGGTTCAGGAGTACAGTATCGGGCACGAGGCAGGGGTGGGAGGTGGAGACGACAAGGTTTTTGTGTCCGGATGAGACTGTAGGGGGGCAACTGGAGCGTCTCAGCGGCAGGCTGGCAGTTTCAAAGCGCCTGCACTCCTCTTCTTCCTTCTGCTCCCCTCCATCCCTCCCTGTTTCAGGAGTACAGTATCAGGCACGAGGCAGGGGTGGGAGGTGGAGACTTCCTGTGCACAGATGAGGTGGTGGGCGGGGCAGCAGGGGCGTCTCAGACCAGAAGCATGCATACTGGCATTTTTCAGGCAGCGACAATCCCCTTTCTCCATCCATCTGTTCCCCTCCATCCCTCCCAGGTTCGGTAGCACAATATTAGGCACGAGGCAGGGGAGGGAGGTGGAGACGACAAGGTTCCTGTGCGCAGATGAGGTGGTGAGGGGGGGGGCAGGGGCTTCCCAGAAGGATACATACCTTGGCAGTTTTCACGCGCCTACAACCCTCTTCTCCATCTGCTCCCCTCCGTCCCGCCCAGGTTCAGGAGCACAGTGACGGGCACGAGGCAGGGGTGGGAGGTGGAGACGACAAGGTTCCTGTGTACAGATGAGGTGGTGGGGGGGGCAGCAGGGGCTTCTCAGGGCGGAGTGGCTCTGAGTGTGGGGTACAAGGCTGGCGTGGCGCCTGTGGCCTTCATTGCCCTCTCTGTAAGCACCTCCTGCCACTCCTTTATAAGCATGCTCTGAAGGTCACTGCCTCTTTATAAGCAAGTCTCGTAGTTTGTCTCCTCTACTTCGCGGTCTGTATTCTTATTATCCAGCATCTTGTTTTCATAACTGCTATAATCAACATTTATTTCTTCTGGCATGGCAGGGAGGGGGTAGAAGGCGGCGCAGGTTGGCAGGGTCCGGCAAGGGAGCTGGTTACCAGCTGAGGGTGGAAGTGCCGCCATCCAATCTGAGGAGAGCGGTGATTTCATGGGATGCCACCCATGGGATAGAGTTTTAGTAATTAAAAGAAGCTACTTCACTGTCACACAAAGGCATAGCCCTTCATTATGGCAAAGCTTGAGTAGGCTCAAATGTACATTTTGAACAATGTCATGTCATGTCATGTCAACCATGGGATTTTCCTATGTATGGATCTTCCATGTTTGGCCTCCGCGTAACACCAGCAGTGGCGAAGCCACGAAATCCGACAGTGTAACCTTAGTGTCAGTTCGGCAATCCCAGGCCGGCAGCAAAAGCCATTAGCTCCTGCGTCCTGTCTCCTTTGGGTTGGGAGCCGTAAATTACAACCGATATCAGCTCCTTCACCAATCGCAGGCAAGCTCTGTCTCACGGAAGACGCGCAAATGAGACGCGTAGCTCGTTGATTAGCCGCTCATTATCACAGCGTAATACCTCGCAGTCGAATAGTGGATGGGTTATAAAGTATTCCGAATCGCTCATCTGTACATGCAACGAATTCATGAGCGTTTTTGCCCCCTTGCAGAGATCCACCCACCGTTCGCTATGGCGTCTCCGATTGAGGGAATGCTAAAGCGAGACCGCTGGGAAAGTGTGGAGCGATTCCGGCAGAGTAACACTATTCGAATAGCGTGCTAGGCACTGGTGGCAGTTGGGCAGAGTTTGCCTTAAAGTACTTGGTCGAAATTCGAGTAGAGTAGAAGTTCACTAGAAACATATCTCCAAAGTACAAATAAGCATGCAAATATATAGGCAAGTGCAAACCCAACCAAAGTTGCGTGGCGCTGTGGGTGTAACCAACCACCCCGAAGTTGCCGAAGGGTTGGGCGAACGCGCCTCGCCCAATTCTCCAACCCAACTCAGCAAGGTTGGGTTTGCCGTGTACGCAACTCCAACCAGCAAGGCAAACGCTGCCTTGCTCCTCACGAAAAACCATTGCGATAGCCACGACTACTTATGACTCGTCAGAGTCACTGGTCGTCGTGAGCATCTTCGGACTAGTCCGCACAAACTAGACATAGTCTTCGGACGCAATGGTTAGTCCATGCACCTACGCCAACCCGCAGCTGCCAGGCAACTGGTGCACCTACATAAGTCGGTCAATGCCTGGCTGCCCGCAGCTGCAGTAGGGCTTCCAACACCGATCCCTTGCATCACGGCCATCCATGGCGTCCGATCCAAGATGAGAATACAACGGTTACATTCTTTCGTCGCTGCATTCGCCACGGCCGTCCATTGCGTCGGATCCAAGTTACAAATACAACAGCTACATGCTTTCGTCGCATTCGACTCGTTCGGAGTGTTTCGATCGGGAGCACAGGATCGCATCTAGACCTGCGATTCCTTCCTCGCCAAGCCTCAACCAGATCGGATTCAACCCACACCAACCTGCTCGAAACGCATCCGCCAGGATTCGAACCCCTGATCGCAGCTTCGCAGCCTTTTCAGACGCTGGAACGCCTTCCTGGCCAGCAGACGCTCAAGAGGCAGAGATCGCTGTCTCCGGTTCTGAAGCGTCTTTCAGCAGCAATCCAGAGCGGAGCGATGAAGCAGAGCTTAAAACGCCTACAGTTGGGGACGGGGAGGGAGAGAGTGGGGGAGGAGGTGAGGGGGGCATCGGGAGAGTGGAAAGGGGAGAGGGGGGAACGAAGGCGGGGACAAGAGGGTTGGGAGGAGAGCGGAGAGAGCGGGGGTAGATTGTGAGGGAGGCAGGAGTAAGAGTAGCGGAAGGGAGAAATGCGAGGAGGAGGAGGAGGAGGCAGTGGCAGTGACTGCTGGAGTGCTGATGGAGAAATTCGGGCCTCAGATTGTGAGAGAGGAGTTGGAGGAGGGGGGTGGAAACGGAAGGAATGGCAGGGGTGACGAGGTGCAGGAAGATCAGGCGAACGATGGTACACTATTGGAAGAAGATGAGGAAGAGGAGACAAAAGCGAGTGAGGAGGACTCACCAGCCGCCACATCTCGTCCCACATGCCCTACTTCACTCAACAGCGCACGTGCAACCTCCCCTTCCTCCCTTCTCTCCCTGTACCGCTTCTTCTCCTCCCACCTCGGCATCTCCTCCCCTTCCACTGTCGCCTCCTTCCTTGCCTCCTGTCCTGCACTCTTACGTTCTGATCCCACAAATGACCTCCTGCCACGTGTCCATCTCCTCCAATCATATGGCATATCACATGGCCACATTATCCACATAACCATGAAAACCCCAGCCTGGCTCCGAGTCTCCCTTCCACAGATTCAGGAGATGCTCAAGTTTCTATTGGCTAGAGGTGTTCAATGAACCAGATTGGGCTCTGTTCTCGGACGCGGGCGAGGCTTAATTTGCTTACAGGCACGTTCAACGAACCTGGACATTCTGGTGGAGAGAGCAGGGGTTCCTGTGGACAAGCTGGGTGTGATTATAGAGAGGTTCCCAAATTTCTTAAATCAGAGAGACGAATCTTTAGTGATGCAGCTTGAGCGGTTGTCAGCCTATTTCACAGAGGCATGTGGAGGGGAACGGGAAGGAGAGAGCACCAGCACAGGGCACCTGAAGCAGAAATCCAGTGAGCAGCACGTGGCCAACAACCACCTGGCCAGGCTTATTCTGAAGTTTCCGGCTATCCTCACTTGTTCTCCCCACCACATCGCTAAAAGTCTCGCCATCCTCCAGTCCTTCACTACCCCAGGTACCCCCTCCATTGCAGTCCCTGTTCTTCACAACGCCCCCTCTGTCCTCGCCCTCAGCTCAGAGACTCTCTTCTCTAAGCTCCTGTTCTTTGTGGAGCTGGTGGGGGAGGAGGCGGCAGGGAGGGTAGTGCGGAGCCAGCCACAAGTGTTAGCTCTGTCCATAGGGAAGATGCAAGGCAATGCGGCGTTATTGAGTGATTTGATTGGGAGGGATAATGTTGCTCAGGCAGTTGCACGACACCCGCTCCTGTTGGCTTCAAGTGAAGATAACTTGAAGGGGAGTTTCAGAGGGCTTGTGCGGGAAGTGCAAGAGGCATTGGAGGGGAGGGAAGGAGGTGTAGGAGGGGAAGAAAGCTTGGAGGGAGGTGGAAGAGAAGAATGCAAGGAAGGGGCCAAAGGGTCTCAGGTTCAAAACGCAGTGCAAGAAGGCAAGAGAAGCAGGGCTGTCCAATTGGTGGTGGATCTAGTGGTTAAGTTCCCTCAGTCTATCTACTATAGCTGGGAAGGTAACACGAAGCACAAGGTGGATTACTTAAAGCGGGACATGGGGCTCTCTATAACGGAGGTGCTTGCCTTCCCGCCCTTCCTTAGTTACAGTTTGGATCGGCGAATCAGACCACGCCATGTGGCACTGCAGCGCGTGGGCTATGTGGCCGCTCCATATAAGGTGGTCCTTCAGAATCTTGGTGGGGACAGGAGAGGGAGCTTGAGGGGAGTTCGGATGACGGGGAGGAAGCAGGTAGATGTGCGTGGGGAGGTAGAGAGGCCTCATAAGATGTCAGAATGTGGGGAGGATAAAGCGGGGGGAGAATGAAGGGGATTTTCAAGGGGGGGGCAGCAGCAGCAGACCACGGGGGGAAGGCAGTATGGATGAGCAGGGTGCGAAATGGCAGCAGCATAGGACTGCGGTGTGCTTAACTCAGTTCCTAGGTTGTTCGGAGAAAGAATTCCAAGTTAAGTTCAGTGTCAAGCTGGAGGGTATGCGTTGATGGATTTGCACCGCGTGTTACGGATATTGCACTGCATGCTACGGATGTTTCACTGCATGCTACGGATGTTGCACCAGCTGGAGGATGACCAGGGCATCCAGCTTCTTAAAAGATAGGATGCCATTTTTTTGAATTCTCAAGGACGATCATTTGGATCCACAGCGTCATCTGCATGGGGGGGGGCAGCAGGAGCAGCAATATGGGCACAAAGAGCAGAAGAGTAGGTGGAGCAGGAGCAGCGGGATTAGGAGTAGGAGGGCCGGGGGGGCGGATCTCAGTGATGCAGCTGCGGGAGATGGTGGAAGCAAACCCCGAGGCGTTTCTGCGTGCCTTTGATTCCGTGGCCAAGCGGGTGGAGGCGGCGCGCAAGAGACAGGCCGTTACAGTTACCAGCAAGTACAACTCGCGGACCGACATCCTCCGATCCGCAGTCTCCTTAGACATTCCCTCCGTCTCGCCCTTTCCCTTCCCGCTCCCGTCCCTCACACGCCTTCCCCTCTTCTCCTCCCCCTCCTCCAACTCCTCCTCCCCCTCCTCATCTCCCTACTCTTCCTCTTCCTTCTCCTCCTCCCCCTCCTCCTCCTCCTCCTCCTCCTCCTCCTCCTCCTCCTCCTCCTCCTCCTCCTCCTCCTCCTCCTCCTCCTCCTCCTCCTCCTCGTCCTCCTCTTCCTCCGCCTCCTCACCCCCCTCCTTCCCGTTGCGCATCAGAGCAGTGGCAGAGGGTCACCCCTCCTCCCCCTTCACTCGTTTCTCCATCGCCCCGGAACTCGGCCCTCTCCGCCTGAGATGGGACCGGCCCCCCCTGGTCCTTTCCTTCGGTGCCACTTTACACTCTGGGGACAACTCGCTAGTGCAAGTCTTCCACGATCTGCAGGGGAGTTCACATGTTCCTGAGGGACTTCAAGAAGAAAAATGCCCCTCTTCCCCCTTCACCCGTTTCTCCATCGCACCTGAAATCGGACCTCTCCGCCTGAGGTGGGACAGACAGACCCCACCTGGTCCCTTCCTTTTGTGCCACTTTACATTCAGGGGACAATTCCCTCGTGAAAATCTTCCACGACCTCCAGGTGCGTTCGTAAGCGCCTTCAGGTGCACGTTCCATGCAGGTGAGGCACCAACCATGGGATCGACCCCAGCACCAGGGCTAGGTTTTTTAGAATTCACAAAAACCTAACACAGCTTGAGTTCAGGTGCACGTTCCATGCGGGTGAGGCATCGACCATGGGATCGACCCCACCCCCCGTCATGCCTTGCAGGACCGCTCTACTTGTCACTGGCATGCTTTTTAGTTTTTAGGTTTTGAGGCGCCTCAAAACTCCGCTCTTCTTGTCACTGGCATGCTTTCTAGTTTTTAGGCGCCCAAAAACAAGTAGACCATGGGATCGACCTCGCCACCGCCTGCTGCGCCTTGTAGGACCGCTCCAACTGTCACTTCCATGGTCTCTTTTATTTAGGCGCCTAAAAAATAGACCATGGGACCGACCCCACCACCCCCTGCCACGCCTTGCAGGACCGCTCCAACTGTCAATCGCATGGTTTCTGTGAAATGTCAGGCCCCCAACCTTCCTCCCTCCTCCTTTCCGCCACCACTCCTCCGCCCCTCGTGCACCCCCTGCTCCCACTGTGCCCCATTTTGCACCACAGGAGCGGCCAGGCTGCCGAACAGCCCTCATGGTGGTGTGGTGGGCTCGCTCCATGGCCTACCGTGCAATCCTCTCCCTCAAGCTGCCTGCCTGCCATGTGGTATGTGCCTCTTAAACTCGCTCCCATGCTCACATGCTCGCTCCCATGCTCCCATACTTGCTCCCATGCTCGCTCCATGGCCTACCCTGCCATCCTCTCCCTCAGTATGCCGCGTGCCTTGTGGTATGTTCTCAAAACTTGCGTGCACTCGCACTTGGTAACTTGCACACTCCCATGCGCCCATGCTCCCTCCATGGCCTCAGAAAGCCAGTCTGTCATGTAGTATGTGCTTCTTGGACTCGCACCGAGACACAGGGAAGTGAGACCCTGGGAAGTGAGACCTACTAGGGAAGTGAGACCGACCTAGGGAAGTCAGACGTCAAGAAGTGAAACCTAGGAAAGTGAGACCTTGGCAAGTGAGACCTTGGCAAGTGAGACCTTGGCAAGTGAGACCTTGGCAAGTGAGACCTTGGCAAGTGCGACCTTGGCAAGTGAGACCTTGGCAAGTGAGACCTCGGGGCAAGTGAGACCTCGGCAAGTGGGACCTTGGCAAGTGAGACCTCGGCAAGTGAGACCTCGGGGCGAGTGAGACCTCGGCAAGTGGGACCTTGGCAAGTGAGACCTTGGCAAGTGAGACCTTGACAAGTGAGACCTAGCACAGTGAGACCTTGGCAAGTGAGACCTTGGCAAGTGAGACCTTGACAAGTGAGACCTTGGCAAGTGAGACCTTGACAAGTGAGACCTTGGCAAGTGAGACCTTGACAAGTGAGACCTTGGCAAGTGAGACCTTGGCAAGTGAGACCTTGGCAAGTGCGACCTTGGCAAGTGAGACCTCGGGGCAAGTGAGACCTCGGCAAGTGGGACCTTGGCAAGTGAGACCTAGGAAAGTGAGACCTCGGGGCGAGTGAGACCTCGGCAAGTGGGACCTTGGCAAGTGAGACATAGGAAAGTGAGACCTTGGCAAGTGAGACCTTGGCAAAATGAGACCTAGGAAAGTGAGACCTCGGGGCGAGTGAGACCTCGGCAAGTGGGACCTTGGCAAGTGAGACCTCGGCAAGTGAGACCTTGGCTAGTGAGACCTTGGCAAGTGAGACCTTGGCAATTGTGACCAAGGGAAGTGAGACCTTAGGAAGTGAGACCTTGGGAAGTGAGACCTTGGGAAGTGAGACATTGGGAAGCGAGACCTTGGGGAGCGAGACCTTGAGAAGCGAGACCTTGGGAAGCGAGACCTTGGGAAGCGAGACCCTGGGAAGCGAGACCTTGGGAAGCGAGACCTTATGGAAGTGAGACCTTTTGAAGTGAGACCTTTTGAAGAGAGACCTATGGAAGTGAGACCTACGGAAGTGAGACCTTTTGAAGTGAGACCTATGGAAGTGAGACCTACGGAAGTGAGACCTATGGAAGTGAGACCTTTTGAAGCGAGACCTTTTGAAGTGAGACCTACGGAAGTGAGACCTATGGAAGTGAGACCTATAGAAGTGAGACCTTTTGAAGTGAGACCCATGGAAGTGAGACCTTTTGAAGTGAGACCTTTTGAAGTGAGACCTATGGAAGTGAGACCTATGGAAGTGATACCTTTTGAAGTGAGACCTATGGAAGTGAGACCTATGGAAGTGAGACCTTTTGAAGTGAGACCTATGGAAGTGAGACCTATGGAAGTGAGACCTATGGAAGTGAGACCTATGGAAGTGAGACCTATGGAAGTGAGACCTAGATTCACCACTTTGAATCTCCCCCCTTTCCATCCTCTTGCAGGATATTCTGTGGTTTGGCTTCCCCCCGGGCCAGTTTCTGCTGATCTGGGTCAACAGGCTCAAGGGCAACCTCTTCCTCCTTCTCCCACTCACTATCCCCACACACTGCCCGTCTCTCCCCCCTCCTCCCCCCCCGTGCAGGACATGCTGTGGTTTGACTTTCCGCGGGGCGAGTTTCTGCTCAACCGGGTCAACGGGCTCGAGGCCAGCGTCTTCGTGCGGTGCAAGCCGCTGAGTGGTGTGCTTCAAGTAGAAGGGTGGTCGTCAGACACAGCCACTGTAGGGCTCGCCTATCAGGTAGGGCTTGCTGTTGGGTTGGGTTTACCTGCCACCTACCTGTGCGGTCCAGCCTCTTCGTGCCATGCTTCAAGTGGAAGGGCACTCACTCAACACTGCCACTGTGGGGTTTGCCTATCTTTGAGGCGCCTCAAAAGTTGGTCTCTATTTTGAGGCGCCTCAAGAGTAGGGCTTGCTCACATGGTGGGCTTGCGTACCACGTACCTTAGCCAGCCTCTTCGTGCCATGCAAGCATCTGAGGGGCATGCTTCAAGTGGAAGGACACTCACCCGACAATGCCACTGTGGGGACCGCATACCAGGTAGGGCTTGCTGTTGAGTGGGGTTTACCTGCCACTCACCTGTGCCAGGCCGTTCCTGCCGTGCCAGCCACTGATGGGCGTGCTGCAGGTGGAAGGGCGGTAGTCAGACACACACATGTGTGAGTCGGGACTCCCTCTCTCACTATACATATATTGAAGCCCCTTCGAATCTGCCCTTTTTTTCCACTCCTCCTTCCCCCAGCACCCCTTTGGAACGTGTATCACGCCCTCATTCTCTCTCACCGTAGCTTGATTTTGCTGCCTTTCCCTTCTCTCCCTGCCTCAGAACCCCTTTGGAACGCTTATCACTCCTTCATTTTCTTTCGCCGATGGGGGCGTGTCAGTGGAGGTGCTCCAGCCAATCACAGTGCGGCAGCTGGGACCTGCGGTCAAGCCGGAAGCTCAAATAAGGTACGAGGCATCAGTTATTCCGAATGCAGTCACATAATTTATTCGGTAAAACGGTGGAGAAATTTCCTCACCATTATCTGGAAACGGATGACACTTGTGAACATTTGGTACATATGGTAGTACATAACTTGGCCCTTGTACGGTGCATTCGTCCCTTCGAGGTACGGTGCATCCTGCATCCCTTCAGGACGGCAGTCGCGAGGCGCCTACAATCCCCTTGCTCCTGCTCGCCTCCATCCCTCTCAGGTTCAGGAGGGACGGGCACGAGGGAGGGTTGAGAGGTGGAAACAACAAGGTTCTTGTGCACAGATGAGGTAGGGGGAAGCAGGAGCGTCCCAGAAGCATCCTGGCAGTTTTCAAGCGCCAGCAATCCCCTTTCTCTATCTTCTCCCCTCCATCCCTCTCAGGTTCAGGAGTACAGTGACGGGCACGAGGCAGGGTTGGGAGGTGGAGGCCAAAAGGTTCCTGTGTACAGATGAGGTGGTGGGGCGGGCAGCAGGGGCGTCTCAGTTGTATTTTGAGTCGACTCAAAATACAACTGGGCAGCAGGGGCGTCTCAGGGCAGAGTGGCAGTGAGTGTGGGGTACAAGGCTAGCGTGGCGCCTGTTGCCTTCATTGCCCTCTCTGTAAGCACCTCCTGCCACTCCTTGAATAAGCTTACTCTGAAGGTCATTGCCTCTTTATAAGCACGTCCCGTAGTTAGTCTCCTTTACTTCGCGGTCTCAGCTCTTTTTGTCTAGCATATTTTTTTATAAGAGCTATAATAACATCTTTTTCTTCTGGTATGGCAGGGAGGGGGTAGAAGGCGGCACAGGTTGGCAAGGTCCGGCAAGGGAGCTGGTTACCAACTAAGGCTGGAAGTGCCGCCATCCAATTTCAGGAGAGCAGTGATTTCATGGGACGCCACCCATGGCATAGAGTTTTAGTCATTACCAGAAGCTATTTTATGGCATAGCCGTTCAATTTGGCAAAGCTTTAGTAAGCTCAAATGTACTCTAAAATCATGTGATATTCCAATGCATGGATCTTCCATGATTGTCCTCCGCGTAACAGCAGCAGCTGCGGAGCCGCGAAATCCGGCAGTGTAACTTTTCGCTTCGGCAATTTCAGTGTCAGTCGGCAATCTCGGGGCTGGCAGCAAAAAACACTAGCCCCTGTGACCCTGTCACTTCGATATATCTGGCATTCACCTCGGGAACGTGAGAGTGCGTCGGCACCTAGCGTGCATCGGTCCCTTGAGTGATTCCAGGCAAGCTCTTTCGGGCAGAGAAGACGCAGATGAGCAGCGTAGCTCCTTGATTAGCGGCTCACTGACGCGAAATTCGTTTCTTTGCAGTCGGTGCGTTAATAGTAGTTCTTGTGTTCCGAATCGCTCATCTGAGCACGCGACGAATTCATGAGCTTTTTTGCCCCCTTCCGGAGATCGACCCGCCGTTCGCCGCTATGGCGTATCCGATCCCTTTTATCACGGCCGTCCATTGCGTTGGATTCAAGATACAAATACAACAGCTACAAGCTTTCTTCGCCGCATTCGCCTCGTTCGGAGTGTTTCGATCGGGAGCACAGGATTGCATCGACATCTGCTACTAGTCCTTCCTCGTCAAGCCTATACTCTATCGGATTCCACCCACACCAACCTCCGCGAAACGCATCCGCCAGGATTCGAACCCCTGACCGCAGCTTCGCGATATGGTCTGCCGCTGTAACGCCTTCTAGACCAGCAGACGCTCCAGAGGCAGAGGCCGCGATCTCCGCCGGATTTGGACCGAGTTTGGGGAGCAAGCCAGGGCAGAGAGATGAAGCGGAGCTTAAAACGCGTACAGTTGGGGCTGAGGACGGGGAGAGTGAGGGAGGAGGTGAGGAGAGCCTTAGAAGAGGTGGGAAACGCGAGGGGAAAGACAAGGAAGGTGTGGACAAGAGGGGTGGGAGGAGAGCAGGGGCCGTGAAGGGAAGAGGAGAAGGAGGCGGGAGGAAGGGTGGAGGGAGGGAAGAATGCGCGGAGGAGGAGGAGGAGGCGGCAGTGGCAGTGATTGCTGGAGTGCTGATGGAGAAATTCGGGCCTCAGATTGTGAGAGAGGAGTTGGAGGAGGGGCCTGGAAACGGAAGGAATGAGGACGAAGAGGAGGTGGAGGAAGAGGCGAAGGGAGTGGGTACAGGTATAGAGGAAGATGAGGAAGAGGAAGCAGAAGGAGAAGCGAGGGAGGAGGACTCACCAGCCGCCACATGTCGTTCCCAACGGCCTACTTCTCCCCACTACTACGCACGTGCAACCTCTCCCTCCTCCCTCCTCTCCCTCTACCGCTTCTTCTCCTCCCACCTCGGCATCTCCTCCCCTTCCACTGTCGCCTCTCTCCTCGCCTCCCACCCCCCTCTCCTCCGCTCCAATCCGGCAAATGACTTCCTGCCACGTGTCCATCTCCTCCAGTCATACGGCATATCCCATGCCGACATTGTCACTATCACAGTTAAAAGTCCAGCCTGGCTTCGATCCTCCCTCCCACAAATTCAGGAAATGCTTGATTATCTATTGGCTTGCGGCGTCCGGCGAACCCGGCTGGGCTTTGTGGTCGGGCGCAGGCGAAGCTCACTCTGCAGGCAGGCACATTCAACGAATCTGGACATTCTGGTGGAGAGAGCCGGGGTCCCTGAGAACAAGCTGGGCATGGTTATAGAGAGGTGCCCAAAAGTCTTAAACATAAGCAAAGATTTTTTGCACGGTCAGCTTGATAAGCTATCAGTGTATTTTGAAGACGAATCTCCAGGCAAGGGGGAAGGAGGAGATGCCACCAGCTCATGGCATCTGAGGCAACACCTGAAGCCACACCTGAATAGGCGAAGCCTGGACGGCAACCACCTGACCAGGCTCCTCTTGAGGCACCCACGCATTCTCCTCGCATCTCCCCATAACATCGCTACCAACCTCGCCATCCTCCAGTCCTTCACTCCCCCAGGTACCCCCTCCATCGCCATCCCCGCTCTCCTCCACGCGTCCTCCATCTTCAATGTCAGCTCCGAGACTCTCTTAGCTAAGCTCCGGTTCTTTGTGGAGCTGGTGGGGGAGACGGCAGCGGGGAGGGTGGTGCGGAGCCACCCGCATGTGCTTGCCCATTCTAAGGAGAATTTGCAAGGCAAGGTGGCGGTGTTGAGTGATCTGCTTGGGACGGAGAATGCTATGCGTGCAGTGGCACGATTCCCTCCGCTGCTGACTTCAAGTGAAGAGAACGTAAGGAAGAGCTTCAGAGAGCTTGTGCGGGAAGTGGAAGAGGCACTGAAAGGGATTGAAAGTGGTGAAGAGGCGCTCGAAGGGACTGAAAGTGGTGAAGAGGCACTGGAAGGGATTGAAAGAGGCGGTGGTGGAGAAGGAAGATTGGAGGAAGGTTGGAGAGGTGAATGCTTGGAAGGGGACGATGAGCCATGGGCTCAGAACATAGCAGAAGAAGGCATGAGAAACGGCATAAGAAGGGAGGATCTCCGATTGGAGGAAGCGGCTTTTATGTCTGAGTCTGACACTCCACACACAGAGTATGAAGGTATTCGAAGCACATCACAAAGATGCAAGGCAAGCAGGGCTCTTCAGTTGGTGGTGGATCTAGCAGTGAGATTCCCTCCATCCATCTACTACAGCTGGGAAGGAAACATGAAGCACAAGGTGGAGTACTTAAAGCGGGACATGGGGCTCTCTATAATGGAGGTGCTGAGATTTCCCACCTTCCTCAGCTACAGTCTGGATCGGCGAATCAGATCACGACATGTGGCACTGCTGCACATGGGCTACTTGGTGGTGCCACACGATATGGTCTATGGAAGGAAGAGTGGAGATTGGAAAGAGCGCTCCAAGGGGATAGGGAGGAGGCGGAGGAAGGTTGAGCTTGTCTCTGAGGAAGAAAAAGGAGGTCAAGGGGAAGTGGAGGATGGGAAGGGCGAGGTGGAAAATAGCCAGTTTGACACAGGGAAGAGTGATTCTACATTGAAAACTAGTAGTGGGTTCTCATTGGGAGCTTCGCGAAGCATCTGCAAATCGGCAGCGAGAGCTGGGAAAATGGTGTGCTTGCTGCAATTCCTTAAATGCCCAGACGAACTATTCAAACGGAGATTTGACCTTGTCTGCCTGGACCCGTGAAGGGCCACTGTTCTGATTCGGACTAGACAACAGATGCTTATACGATCAGCTATATCAGCCCTCCGTGGTCCATGAGCATAGTAACTCATCAGAGGAGAGAGAAATTACTCTGTAATGACAATGTCGTACCACATTAACAATCAGATGTGCCGCCAACAGCGTGGATCTGGAAGCAAAGCTGAATAACCAGGAATGGGAGCTGGTTTGAAAAAAGGGCTGAAGCATTGGCTTAGCAGGTGCACACAGGTGGGAGGAATAGTACTCTGCAACATCAGCTTGGGAGGCCGGCTGGAAAGCCTGGCTTGGAGGTTGGCTTGAGAGGACGGCCGGCTTGGAGGTTGGCTTGGGAGGCCGGCTTTGGAGGCTGGCTTGGGAGGGTGGCTTGGGAGGCCGGCTTTGGAGGCTGGCTTGGAGGCCAGCTCGGAGTGAAAGATTGAAGGAATCAAGACGAGCTGAAGACTACCCATTTGAGCATTTCCGAGCTTACGGAAAGACGGTGGATTGCTTCTCATGCGGACTCGAGCAGCGAATTGCCTTTCCATCTGAGGGGGTGACGGAGGAAACAAAGTGATGGAAAGGGCCACGTGAGACTAAGCAACCGGATGAGGTGACTTTTGAGTCGACTCAAAAGTCACCTATGGGACAATCGGACCATTTGAGTTTACGAGCTGACTTTGGACGCAGAAGGAAACAGCTGGACTCAACGTAGCGATGGAACCTAGGGAAGCGTTTGAAGGAGAAGGAAGGAGATGGCGGGAGACGAGAGGTGGATGAAAAGAGTGAAAGGAACACACGAATGTGGTAAATGGAGGCATAAAAGGTTTGGGGTGATCCTATCCATGTGGATGCTGCTGTTAAAAGTATCTCGAAGCTTGCATATGCTTAAGAGGGTGGAAGTAAATGCATATGCCACAGCTCAGTTTGAGTCATCCTAAGAGACGAAGGGGGCGGAAGAAGCAAAGGCGAGGGGCCAAGAGAAGGCGTGGAACCAGCTGTTCTCACAAGGGAAACGAAAGCTGGTTGTCCTCCTGAACCAGCTGTTTCCCCAGCTGTTTTCCCAGCCCAGCTGTTTCCCCGTAACTGTTGTCGTCGCAACTGCACTACCAGTCGAAAGCTAGTTCTCACCTGCGGAGTAGGAAGCTCCCGAGCGGGCTAAGGTTGTTGACGTCATCATCCCCTCCTTTGCCGTGTCGCCTGTCAGTCCGTCCATCCGCCCCTCCCTCCCCCCCTGGCCCCCCAAACTGCCTGCGAGCATTGGCTTTAAGGTCACGCAAGGGGGGCACCTCCTCTGATGCACTGTGCGTGGGGGAGGGGGGAAAGGGGAGATGCCTGAAATTACAACCCCCAAACTGCCTGCGAACATTGGCTTTAAGGTCAGACAACAGGGCACCTCCTCTGGTGCGCTGTGAGTGGGGGAGTGAGAGCATAAAGGGAGCATGGAGTTGTTTCGAGCCTACTTGCCGAGTTTTCCGAGCAGGCTGGCTAAGAGAAGCTGGCAGGAGCTGGGGGCACACCACTCCATCTCCACTCACTCCGGAGTTAAGAGAGGGGAGGTGGGCAGGAGGAGCTGATAACCTGCTGAGCTTGCCTAGCAGGCTGGCTAAGAGAAGCTGGCAGGAGCCGGGTGCACACCTCTCCATATCCACTAGCACATCTGCTGCATCCGCTGCTGCCAATCCCCGGCACTCTGAAACTTTTGAGAGCCTACCTTCCGAGTTTGCCAAGCAGGCTTGCCAGCAGCAGCTGGCAGGTTCCGACCAGGGGCACACATCTCCATCTTCACTGGCGCACCTGCCGCATCCGCTGCTGCCCTCACTGCTGCCTGCTCCTGCTGCCTGGTCTGTTGCCCTTTCACTAAGCCATCTTCAAAGCACATTGACTTGTTGGGGCACTTACTTTCCAAGCTTGCCAAGCAGGCTGGCCAGCAGTAGCTGGCAGGAGCCGGGCGCACACCTCTCCATCTCCACTAGTGCATCTGCTGCATCCGCTGCTGCCCTCACAGCTGCCTGCTCCTGCTGCTCCGCTGCTACCTGAATTGAGAAATAGGGGAAGGCAACAGGACAGAGCATTAGACAAGATTGAGAGGAACAGAATTCTGCTGACGTTTGCCGCAACTATAGCACCTGCTGCTGCGTGCAATGCTGCCCACGATCAAGATTAACAAATGCGTCATTTTTTTTTTCATACTGTATAATATGGGTCCGGATCATACAGTTGTCTAATTCGGTAGATTACGGTCAATGTTGTATTTTTTCGTCTGGTTAAAAAAAAAAAAACGGCCGAACTTTCCAAAACACGGGTGAAGAATACCGTGGATCTGGTATTTCGCCAGCCAAAATGAACCAGATCTCACGTTTTGGCAGACGAAATCCCTGGATCTGGCTTTCCGGCCGCCAAAATGCGCAGATCTGGAGGACGTTTAGGCTTTCTATAAAAGAGTTGAAATGTTCTATTCAAAATTCGGCGTTTTTCCCCCAAGATCACCATAAAAACCAACGAAAAAAATGGCCGGCCGAAAATTTAAACCTTGCCCACAATGCTGCCCGCTCCTGGTGCTCCGCTAATCCGCTGACACTTGAATTGAAGCGACAGGTTGAAGAGAAGAGGCAGTCTCAGAGTGGAAGCAGGGGGGGTGTGGGTGCGACAGACGGGTGGTGAGACGCCGAGGAGTACATTTTTTTTTTTCAAGCTGAAGCTACGTTGTTGACAGACACTAACAAATGGACCCTTTCATTGAGATATGAAATCAACCCATCCTATTCAATTGCACGCACACCTCTTTGAATGCGGGCATTAGCACGGGGGAGAGCAGAGGTGAGGATGACACAGCGGCATCCCTGCCAGCCACTCTCCCTGCTCCTCCATGCTCCCCCCTTCCTCCTCCTCCTCCACCCTTGCACTCTCATTCAAATGCTTATCTAACATAAGTAATCCCCATTCATCTGAGCACGCACCTCCATAAAAACGGGCATAAGCACGAGGGAGATCAGCGGCGAGGACGACACAGCAGCATCCCTGCCTGCTACCCTTGCTCCTCCCTGCTCCTCCCAGCAACATGAAATAAACCTCCCTTCAACTGAGCACCTCTTTGAATGCAGGGATGAGGACGAGGGAGAGCAGCGGCGAGGACGACACTCCAGCATCCCTCCCTGCCCTGCTACTCCCGCCGCTCCTCCCTCCTCCCTCCTCCCCATCCTTCTTCAAAAGCAAGCAAGAGCACGCACCTCTTTGAATGCGGGCATGAGCACAAGGGAGAGCAGAGGCGAGGATGACACTGCAGCATCCCTGCCTGCTACCCCGCCCGCTCCTCCCTCCTCCCCACCCCCTCCTCCTCCACCCTTGCGCCCCCCTGCCCTCGATTTTCTGGGACTCCTGAAGAGAAGAGAGGCGGGGAATGGAGGGATGCATTGAGAAGTGGCAGCGACAATCCCTCTCTTCACCTCCGCTCACCTCCCCACCCCCTCCGCCTCCTCCACCCTTGCGCCCCCCTGCCCTCGATTTTCTGGGACTCCTTGGCCAGAAGAATAAAGAGAAAGGTGGGGTGGAATGGAGGGGCAAGAGGGAGTGGGAGGATGGAGGGGGTTGGGGGGGTGATGGATCGGCAAAGGTGATGTGTTTGGCCACTCAACACTGTAATCCAGTGGTTTGGATTTAACTGTGCTATCCAAGGCATCCCCACGCCCTAATTATTTTTAATTCGACTCAACATCCAGCGTCATTCCACACCATGCAACCTAACATCATCCCATCATCCCATCATCCCATCATCCCATCGTCCCATCATCCCATCATCCCATCAATCATCCCATCGTCCCATCATCCCACACCACGCACCTTGTTCGAACTGTACCGCCATCCATGCCATCCCCACGCCCTCCTCCCCCTCCCCCTCCCCCGCCTCCTCTGCTCGCCCGCCCTCCCCCACCCTTCTTCCCCCCCTTCATTGCCTTGAGAGCCTCGGCCATGTTTGTTGCAGAGTCCTCCATGCGGCCACCCTCGCCCGAGGCAGACTGAGGAGCACGAGGTGAGAGGGAGGAAGGGGGGAGGATGCAAGGTACGAGTCAGCAGCACTGTAATTCAGGCCACTCCGCCTGAGCTATAGAGTCAAAATTCGAGGTGCCCAAAATATCAACTTCAGGAATCAAGGGCGGCACGAGACAGCACTGCTACGTTACAGTCGGGCCACTCACACCGCTTAAGCTATTGAAACACATATACTATCACACCAACCATGCCACCATGCTACCCATGTTATCAACGTCATCATGCAACTTTCTCCATAGCATAGCACCACCCAAGCCACCCATGCCACCACATCATCGCCCATCTACCGCTTGAGAGCCGTCAGGCAACGGCGGTTTGCTGCCTCTCCTGCGCCCCTTGCCCCCTTCCTGTGATTCAAAAGGGGGGTGGTGGGCAGAGAGTGGTGGGCAGAGGGTGGTGGGCAGAGGGTGGTGGGTGAGGGGGGTGGGGGCAGTGCAAAGGAAGAGAGGGAGGTAAAGCAGAGAGATCAGGGAACGAGTGTGAAGAGCAGCTGTGACGGTGAGGGTGAGGGTGCCTTGCTGTGACGTGAAAAGAGGGGGAGAGAAATCATGGGTTTACAATAATAAATTCTTGGGATAAACAAAGGCAGAACCAAAAATACCCAATATTTCTCAGCGCCATATCCCAGCTTACCCCTTCCTCATCGGTGCCTGAGCCCTCACTCTCACTCCCCCATCCACTTCCATACAGCCCCCCTTTCTCCCCATTCGCCACCCCCTCCTCCCCCCCACCTCCTCCCCCTCCCCCTCCCCCGCCTCCTCCCCCGCCTCCTCCCCCGCCTCCTCCCCCTGCTCCTCCCCCCGATCCCCCGAGGATCCCCCTTTCCCCTTGCTGGCCTTTACAGTGCCCGTATTCGCGCCCCTCTTTACAGTCCCCGTGCTGGAATCACGCGGCTTGCGCCGCAACGTCCCACTCCTCTTCCCCCCATCGTTCCCATCCCCCCCGCCCCCGCCCCCGCCCCCCTCATCACGCCCCAGCGCGTCACCGGCCCCTTCGGAGGGATCGGCCACAGCAGCGCGGATCTGGCGGCGGAGCGTCTCAGTGGGCTTCATGGTGCCCGTGCCAAAGTCCCAGCTGGTCATGCGGTTGTGCCTGGGGTAGTGGGAACGGGAGAATGACAAACAGAAGCAACAGGAAAAGCAGTGTCAGGGGGTCCCTCAGAAGGATCAGCCACAGCCGCACGGATCTGCCGACCAAGGGTCTCAGTGGGTTTCATGGTGCCCGTGCCAAAGTTCCAGCAGGCGAGTCCCAGCTGAGGAGACCCGGCTGGCCAAGCGGTTGTGCCTGGGGTAATGGGGAGTAATGAGAACAGAGGGTCGTCTGGCTTCATGCGCGGCGACACAACACAACGCACTCCCCGCACGCTCCACCCTCTCCCTCACACAGCAGCTCTCGACACACCCTGGGCCTCGGTGACAGGCAATACTGCTAGGCTAGCAGCTGACTTTTGAGTCGACTCAAAAGTCACCTGCAGCTCTCGGCACACACCCTGGGCCTCGGTAACAGGCAATACTGCTAGGCTAGCGGCTAGCCCCCCCACCTGGAAGCACTTCGTTCAGGTTGCCAGCCCTGTAAGACTGCTTGTCACTTACCTGGGAGCGCTGCTGGCAGCGGAGGCAGCGGCAACAGCTGCGGCAGCAACAGCAGCAGCGGACTGGAGAGGGCCATCCGCAGGCTCGTCTGGCTTCAAGCGCGGCGACACAATGCGGCCACCCGAACTCTCCACTCTACCTCCCTTGCCACTGCTGGCTCCCACCCACTGTAACCTGCCTCAAAAGGCCGTTTCGAGTCTAGTTTTGAGGGGCGTCAATGCCAGTCGCCAGTCGGGTTCACGCGGTCACTCACCTGGGAGCGCTGCTGGCAGCAGAAGCCGCAGCAACAGCGGCGGCAGCGACAGCAGCAGCGGACTGGGGGGGTCCATCCGCAGGCTCGTCTGGCTTCATGCGCGGCGACACAATGCGGTCGCCCGAAGTCTCCACCCTCTCCCGCACACGGTCAATGATTCGCGGTGTCTTGCGAGCGTATTTGACAAACCGGTGCTTCAGCAGCTCCTTGGCGCTGGGCCTCTGTATGGATGGAGTGCAGTCAGTCAGATAAATCACACAATGCAAGGGTCAAGCAAGAGGCAAGGGTTGATGATTCGCGGTGTCGTGTATGCGTACTTTACAAACCGGTGCTGCATAGCTCCTTGGCGTTGGGCCTCTGCAAGCAGTGCAATCAGTAGAGACAATCACAGTAGGGGCATGCAAGAATCATGCGTCAGGCAGCGATTGAGACGGCTCAAACGAGGAAGCGGTGCTTCAGCAGCTCCTTGGCGCTGGGCCTCTGCAAGCAATGCAAGCAATGCAATCAGTGCAATCAGTGCAATCAGTGCAAGCAGTGAAATCACGCTGAAGTCACCACATTTGTCACACATCAGCTGCATTCGGCTTTAGGTGCCTAAAAACATGTACATTTCAGCTTCTCGCACTTCTCCCACATTCTCCCACTGCACTCACCTCTCTGGCAGTCTTGTTGAGGCAGAGGTTGACGAACTCCTTAAAGGGCTTGGAGAAGTGGTCGTCCAGCTGCAGGCATGGGGCATTGCAGGGGGACATGGGGGTGCAGGTGGGGCATGGGGGACAGGGGAGGGGAGGACATGGGGATGCAGGAGATAGTGGCAGTCTTGTTGAGGCAGAGGTTGACGAGCTCCTTGAAGGGCTTCGAGAAATGGTCGTCCAGCTGCAGGCATGGGGTAGGGTTGTGCGGAGGGGGGGGGAGAGAGAATGACAGAAAGGGGAGGCAAGGGGTGGAAGGGGAACGGGAGTTTTTGGCAGTCTTGTTGAGGCAGAGATTGACGAGCTCCTTGAAGGGCTTGGAGAAGTGGTCGTCCAGCTGGAGGGATCAGAGTGAGGAGTGTGGGAGGAAGGGCAAAATGGGGGAAAGGGGAGAGTAGGGGAGGGAAGGGGAGGGTGTGTGGGGGATTCAAGGGGGAGGCTGGGTAGCAATACTATAGTGACTTTTGAGTCGACTCAAGAGCGATACTATAGTGGCGGTCTTGTTGAGGAAGAGATTGACAAACTCCTTGAAGGGCTTTGAGAAGTGATCGTCCAGCTGCAGGCAACAGGCACTGCCAGTGTGAATGGTAGGGTGACGGAGGGAGGAGGGGGGGGGGGTTTGGGGGGGGGAGGGGGGCATGCATGCATGCATGCATGATGGCGTGGGGTGCAGGGCTGGAATTGCACACCGGATGCATTCTCCCCTGTATACTCATGTGTGATCCGTGGCATGAATTTACCTGGGGCAGCGGGCTCTTTGGGATTAGGAAGAGCACCCGCAAGGGGTGCAGTGCAGCTCGTGAACTGAATAGAGGCCAGCCACCTGTCTGCTCGACTCACCTTAGCTGGCTTTCAAAACAGATAGTGTGCTCTTACCTGGGGCGGCGGGTCCTTTGGGATTAGGAAGAGCACCCGTATGGGGTGCAGTGCAGGTAGCCATCTCCCTACCACCTGTTGAGGCACTTGGAAAAGCTCAATAACAGGGGACCAGGGGTAGCCTCGTACCTGGGGCGGAGGGTCCTTTGGGATGAGGAAGAGCGCTCTCATGGGGTGCAGGTCAGCAAAGGGCGGCTCCCCCTTGGCCATCTCAATGGCTGTGATACCCAGCGACCAGATGTCCGCCTGGAGTGGAGGGGGCAAGACGGGGGGGTTGAAGGAGTGTGTTGGAAGGAAAAAGGGAATTAAGGAGGGGGGATAAAATGGCACAGCCGTTGGCCATCTCCACTGCTGTGCTGTCCAGCGACCAGATGCCTGCCTTGAGGGGGGGGGGTGGTGGATGGACGGGGGAGGCGATCAGAAAGGGTAAGGGGGCACGAGGATCAGCAAAGGGCGGCCCTCCTTTGGCCATCTCCATTGCTGTGCTGTCCAGCGACCAGATGCCTGCCTGTGAGTGAAGGGGGGAAAGGGGAGGGGGGAAAGGGGAGGGGGGAAAGGGGAGGGGGGAAAGGGGAGGGGGGAAGGGGGAGGGGGAAGGGGAAGAAAAGGGGGTAATCAAAAGGGCGCACAGGTGGATGAACGGAGGGAGGGGAATCGGAGGGGAAGACCGAGGGGTCTCAGAATGTCCTCTCTTTTGCATGGATCTCCTGGGGTGAGTGAGTGTGTGTGGGGTAGGGGGGGGGGGGGGGGGAAACGAGAGCAGAAGAAAAAAGCGGCACAATTTTTCACCACGGACTCGAGCGCCAAACGCACAGTGGTCACGAGCGCACAGGGGGTCAAAAGTTTTTGAGAGTCGACTCAAAGGCAGACTCAACTCAAGAGCCAAACGCACAGATGTCACAAGCGAGCAGGGGGGCAGAAGCAGGGCGCACCTTCTCGTCGTATCCGTCGGTGTTCTGAATGACTTCAGGCGCCATCCAAAAGGGCGTTCCCACAAAGGTCTGTCCAATGAGGATCCACAGTAAGGGTACACACGAAGCCACAGGGAGAGGGCGTGCATGCAGGTATTTTATATATATATATATATATATATGTATATATATGTATATATATGTGTATATATATATATATATATCAATGTCCTCGGCACACGGGCACGTGAGAAAAAGGAATGAAGAGTCTATTACAACGAAAACTCGCATAGCATGGATTCTTGAAGTGACAGAAATCACCTTTCTCTTGAAGAGGTTTTGCTTTGGTGAGCTTGGGCGCGACACACCGACGAAGTTTTGAGGCGCCTTAAAAATAGAACGGATTCCTGAAGTGACGGAAGCCACCTTTCTCTTGGAGATGGTCTTGGTGAGCTTGGCCGACACACCGAAATCAAGTTTTGAGGCGCCCTTAAAATAGAACGGATTCCTGAAGTGTCGGAAATCACCTTTCTCTTGGAGATGGTCTTGGTGAGCTTGGCCGACACACCGAAATCTGCCACCTTGACATCGCCCTCCTCGTTCAGCAGAATGTTGGCCGCTGCTCGACAATAGTCACAGAGATAAGCAGGGCAGGGCAGAGCAGGGTAGGCAGGCAGGGGTGAGTGGGAACAGATGGGTTGGGTGGGTGGCTGGGAGTTAGTCATAAGGAGGCATCTCAACATGCGCCCTGCACACCAACATCGGCCACCTTCACATCGCCCTCCTCGTTGAGCAGAGTGTTGGCCGCTGCTCGGTCGGCGATGGGCAGAAGGGAGAATGGGGGGATGATGCGTGGGGGTGGGGGGGGGGAAGGATGAATGAAGAGCACAGCTTGAGTCAGCCACCTTGACATCGCCCTCCTTGTTGAGCAGAATGTTGGCCGCTGCTCAGCAACGGGCAGAGGGGAGAGCAGAGGGTCGAGATGGATGGAGGACAGTGAGGCGAGAGAAGTGAGGTGAGATACTGTGAGTCGAGAGTCGAGATGCTCTGCTCTGGAGTTATCTAATCCAGAGTCTGCAGCAGGTCGCTGGGTTGACTGACTGAGGAGTAAACAGTCAATCTCTGGCATGACACCCAAGAGAACCTCCACCTTTGATGCCGCGGCGGTGCCCCCGGCAGGTCACTGGGTGGACTTACAACCAAACACACCATCTCTCACATCACAAGAGCCAGCCTTCCTCAGTGTGACAACCAAGCAGCGCACACCCCACCTTTGATGTCGCCGTGAATCTTCTTCTCCCAGTGCGGTACTCCAGAGCCTGCAGCAGGTGCCGCTGGGTCGACCTACAACCAAACAGCCTACCACTATATGACAACCACAGCCCACATCACACCTTTGATATCACGATGGATCTACTTTTCCGAGTGCAGGTACTCCAGAGCCTGCAGCAGGTCGCTGGATTGACTGCCGGTCAAGCCAACCACACAGCCTACCCTTGATATCACAACAATGCATGCAGCCCACATCACACCTTTGATATCACGATGGATCTACTTTTCCGAGTGCAGGTACTCCAGAGCCTGCAGCAGGTCGCAGGGTTGACTGCCAGCCAACCACACAGCCTACCCTTGAGATCACAACAATGCAGCCCACATCACACCTTTGATATCACGATGGATCTTCTTCTCCGAGTGCAGGTACTCCAGAGCCTGTAGCAGGTCGTGCAGAATGTAGGCTATGGACGCCTCGTCCAGAGGGGACTCCTGGAGCTGCGGGGGGAGAGAAAGAGAGGGGGAGTGGGAGGGGAGGGTGGGGGGAGGGGGACGAGATGGTTGGTTGGGGCATAGATAGGTCGTGCAGGACGTAGGCTATGGACGGCTTGTCTTGTCCAGACTCCAGAGGAGACTCCTGGAGCTGCGGAATAAAGTATGGGCGAAGGGGGAAAATGCGCGAGACAGATGGCTGGCGCAAAGGCAGGCCATGCAGGATGTTCTAGGCTATGGGCGCCTCGTCCAGAGGGGACTCCTGGAGCTGCAAATAGATGAGGGGGGAGAGGAAGGGCGGGCGGGGACGGGGGTGGGGGGCAGCCATGCAAACACCAGGTTGCCTTGCCAGCCATCAGCCCCCCAAATCCACAACGTTGCTTCTAGCTGTGCACCAACCAAACAAAACCCCTGGTTTCTACCATCAGACACTCACCAAATCCGCCACACTACCACCCGCCATAAACTCCATGACAATCCATAGCTTGGTGTTGTGCACGCTGCTGCCGTAGTACCTGATGGGGGGGGGAGGGGGGGGGGGTGTGGGACGAGACGAGACAGTTTCGAAGACAGGTAAGCTGAACGAGTATAGGCCCTTTACAATCAATAGCTTGGTGTTATGCACAGTGCTGCTATAGAACCTGACGACAGGTGCGGGAAGGCGGGTTAAGTCATTATGGAATTCTTACGTGGTCAAATTTTCTACAAAAATATTCGTGAGCATATTGCCGCCACAGAACCTGATGATGCTTAGCAGCCTTCGCTATACTCTTCTTCTATTCTCTTAAGATTTCTAAAACAGCAAAGTGCATAGTAGTACCTGGTGATGTTGGGTGCCCTGCACTCTGCAAGAAGAGCAATCTCCTGCTCGCAAGGACGGAGGCCAGACACATTAGCACACACAGCCACGAGCCGTCAGTCAGTCACACATGTACGGGCAAAGGAAAAGGGACGCGAGATCACACAAAGGTGTACGGATGCACGTGCCAGGATTGAAGCATTTTGCGACAGTTTGGGTGAGGGAGTGAGGTGGTTGGTAGCCTGGTTACTTGGTAGGATTGAACTTAGAAATATTGCGGCAGGCACAGCGAGAAAAGTCGGAATTTGCAGCAGGAGAAGCGAAAGGTAGGGAGACCGAGTGGTTTTCAGAATTCAGGTGGCACAGCTTAGCCCAGCTGTGGGGCATGCCATGTCAGGAGTTGACCTTTTGAATGTCCTCCACGTCATCTTCACTGCAGCACGAAAAGGGGGGAGAATGAGGAGGAAAATGGGGAGGAAAATGGGGAGGAAAATGGTGAGCCAGTGTGGAGGGAAAACCACTGACCAGAATTTGCGAGGTAAATTCCTTGACAGGTGTGGAACGGAGAACCATTTACCGGCTGTCGGGACAAGTAATAAGTCGAGGAACTTCTTGGACGAGGGGAGAAATGGATAAGGAGAGGAGAGAATGTTACAAAAAAACGGATGATGAACGAAATGGATGAGAACGTACGCTTCTTCGAGGTCGATGATCTTCACAGCCACCTGCTTGCCCGTCTCCTTGTCGATGCTGCACGCAATGAAGTATGCCAGCAAGGGGGAAGGGGGAAGGGTGAAGGGGGAAGGGGGAGGGGGGAGGGGAGGGGGAGGAAAGGGGTGGGGGGCGGGGGTGGTTATTTGGAAGCATACGCTTCTTCCAGGTCGGTGATCTTCACAGCCACCTGCTTGCCCGGCTCCTTGTCAATGCTTCACGCAATGCCGTACGCACATGGTCAAAGCGCATGGTCAACGCACATGGTCAACGCACAAGGTCAACGCACAAGGTCAAACCACATGCCTCACGCCATCCCATCCCATCCCGTGATCGAATGCCACTGTTTCACAGCGGAAATGGCATGTGCTGAATGACACGTTCCCATCCTATGCCATTAGCATGACATACAATCAAATTGCAAAAGATTGGAGCTTGCTTCCTAGTCATAACGTGACACCTATTTCACAGAGGAAATGGCATGTCCTGAGTGAAACGAACATCCCCATGCCATTATCGAATCAAATTGCTTCCTCTTCGTACTAACGTGAGCGTGAACATCACGCTATGACGACATGGATAACGGCGTCTGGCGTGTCATGCACCAGGGGCCTCACTTTTGAGTCGAATCAAAAGTCAGCTCGTAACGCGAGCGTGGAAGCCACGCCAAGACGACACGGATAACGCTGTCTGGCGTGCCATACACCAGGGGACTTACCCCTTAAAGACATCTCCGAAAGACCCTTTTCCGATGAGCTCCGTCAACTGGAACCGCTGGTCCATGATGCCACGCTTTAAATCCCCCGGCCAGGTATTCGCCGCCCTAAACTAAGGTGCAAAGTACGTCGTTCTTCTGAATCTGGAAGAATAACTTCTCGGGCTAAGTCGCCTATGGATTAGAAACCGCCTCAGAGCACAGAACGGGAAAATGCAGGACTAGAAACCCTAAACATGCTGGTAAAGCACCAGACTGCTCTGAAACTACCTTGCAATAGCGGTTTGTATGCAGACGCTGCAGACGGAGACAAATGCGCAAATCTAGGGCAGCATTGACCTAATACTACGAGCCTTGTCGAGCAAACTCCGCCCCGGCGTAACCTGACAAGACGCTCAGACGATAACGAGCGATGAGCGGAGATCAGGCAGTAAACCGCGGCAGCTAGGGAGAAAACGTTGCTCTAGCTAGCACGAATGCCGAACGGCCGAATGAACCAAGACCTAGGCCACTACTATAATAGCCACTCAATCTAGAGTGAGGTTATAGAGTGGCTGTGTATTTGAAGAAAAGCGGATAACATCGAAATAGCCATTTGTAGGTGGGGGAGTAATCTGGGCACCAGCCACCCACCAGCAGCTACCAACTCGGCCTGCAGGGCTCGCGAGGCGGGCGACAAGTTTCCCTTTTCGTTGCGCTCGACCTTGCAACCTTTTGAGGCTGCTAGGTGGTGACGACACTTCGCCGAAAGCCGCCTCGAGTTGAAAACGAATTTGGTAACCCGAGAAATTTAGCTGTCGCTGCTGTCGCTTGTAAAGCCCTGTTGCTGTTGTGGGTTTTCGCAGTTAGCGAACTTCGCGTAAGCTGGCAAGGTTACCAAAATTTATGTAGATTTCTCCATCCAAATATTCCCTCTAGAGATTGCCGCCGGCCTTACTGCTTATCACCAGCACCACTACCCTCCACCTCTGCCACCTAGAAACTAGATAGTGCCGCCTGCTTCTTTCATGGCTCCATTTTTGCCTCAACCATACTGAAGTCTCGGCTAAGCGGAGTTCTTGCCTGTCCCGTCCCGTGATCCAATGTTACACGAAAGACTCGCGAACGACATAGATCTGACGATATCTGGTTTGGCTCCATCATTGCCAGCATCAGCCCGATCCTGATCACCGCCTGGACTTTTTTCTGTAGAATCTCCGTCTTTCTTGCCGAAAATGTCGGGAGAGGAAGACGCCGGCCTCCTAGACTCCGAAATCGAGTTAAAACTTAGTATAAATCCCAACATCCAGGTCCGCATTGGGGGTCCGCACAAGCCTCCTACTACCTCTCAACCGCATTCCTCTCCACACAACCACCATCCGCATCCCCGCCACTCGCCCTCCATACCCCCTCCGGAAATCACGGAAGAACCAGGGCAAATTCCCAGCAATCCCGCCGCATTTTACGGCGATCATAGCGCAGGTGGTTCCCGTGAAGCGGAAGTCACGGTGAGCCCACTACTGGACTCAGATTTCCCCGAGGGTCACTCCTCCACGGGAGGTCTAGGCCGCTTTATTTTCAGCCCCGCGAATGTCGGCGGTCAGATAACGTCGTTTTTAGGAGCATCTGTCCCCGCGACCCTCGCCGTGTTCAGCGCCGCGTTTTCCGGGCTGGCTTTCGCCATTAGCAGCGCGCATCAGGGTCTTCCCGTGGCCGTGCATTTCGGCGGCTCGGACAACGAAGATAACCCGCGAGACTTAACGCGTATACCTCTAACGGGGACATCCGGCGACGCTTCGTTAAGAGACCCTGCAAGGCTTCAGCAAGCGTGGATGCAGTTTTGGTCCGACCCAAAATCATCTTCTATAGCGACATTTGTACTGTACCAAATATTCATTGTACTCACTATATATCTTTTTCACCTTATGGGGGCCTCTCCTGGTGTTACAGCCTTCCTCACAACCTCCTGGGCAATCGTTTTCGCGGGTAATTTACTCCTCGCACTGCTTCTACCCGGACTTCTCGCACGGGAATTTCTCAGGCGGTGTGCCAAGCGGGATATACTGGAGGCTGCTAAAGTGGGTTACTCTATAGCGGGGCAGCGGAGAGGAGGGCGAGTGGTGGTGCTGCGGGGCCGAGTGAGCCTTCCCTCGTCGTCAGCATCCATGCAGGGAGGGTCGAATTTCGACGGAGACCAGGTAAGGGGATACGGTACGGTACGGTGGGGAGAGGTGCTTTTTATCTCGACAGTTGTCCTGCCCTCGTTGTCAGCATCCGTGCCAGGAGGTTCCACCTTCGACGGAGGGTCACATCTTTTTACCTGCTCCACGAGCACCAGCTCACCCTCCCCCCCTCTCTCTTTCTCCCCCGCCTCCCCATCGTTCCCGGTCACCGCCCCATCCCTTTAAGGATTTCGTCATCATGAGCACCTCCCTCCAATCATACCACGCCCCGCGTGCCACAGCCTTCGAGTGCTGCCGCCCAGGCATCACCCCACCCTTCCCTCCTCTCCCCCCTCTTCCCCCTTCCCCCATCCCCCATCCCAGGGTGCTTTTGAGGCGCCTCAGAAGCGAGCCACAGCCTTTGAGTGCTGCCGCCCAGGGCATCACCTCACCCTCCCCTCCTCTCCCCCCTCTTCCCCCCACCCCCATCCCAGGGTTTCATCATCATGAGCACCTCTCTCCAATCCTACCACGCCCAGCGAGCCACAGCCTTCTGCCGTCTTTGCAAGAATCAGCTCTCATCCTCCCCTCCCTTCCTCCCACTCCCCACTTACCCCCCCCTCATTTGCCCTCCCCCCATCCGTGCAGGGTTTCATCATCATGAGCACGTCCCTTCAGTCCTACCACGCTTTTTGAGGCGCCTCAAAAACCCCCCACTACCCCCCCCCCTCGTTTCCCCTCCCCCCGTCCGTGCAGGGGTTCATCATCATGAGCACGTCCCTTCAGTCCTACCACGCCCGCCGAGCCACAGCCTTCTACCGCCGCCGGGAGCACCTGCGGCAAACGCTGGCCGTCGATTTCCGCATATCCGACGGCAACGGGGACAGCATCCTGGTGTGCGGGCGGCGGGCGGCAGACAGGGGGCGGCTGGCGGCGTTTGTGCATCACGGGACGGTGGTGGCGCTGGCGTCTAGTAAGCGGATCATTGGTTTCCTGGATGCCACGTGGCTGGAGCAGGAGCAGCAATTCTTGGAGACGCACCCGAATCTACAGCCTTCGGACCTTGTCATTTCAAGAGGGTACGTGCTTGATTGAACTGCAATACAAGAGGATGCCCTTTCACCGAGGTAGGTCCTTTCACAGGGGTGAGCCGTTTCACAGAGGGAGGGGAGCTGGCGGCGTTTGTGCAGCACAGGACGGTGGTGGCGCTGGCGTCCAGCAAGCGGATCATTAGGTTCCTGGATGCCACGTGGCTGGAGCAGGAGCAGCAGTTTCTGGAGACTCACCCGAACTTGCAGCCATCAGACCTGGTCATTTCTAGAGGGTATGTCCTTTGAAATGTATTTCAAGAGGGTATGTCCTTTGAAATGTATTTCAAGAGGGTATGTCCTTTGAAATGTATTTCAAGAGGGTATGTCCTTTGAAATGTATTTCAAGAGGGTATGTCCTTTGAAATGTATTTCAAGAGGGTACGTACGTCCTTTGAACTCACGTGTATCACCTCACTGCTTTTGAGGCGCCTCAAAAGCAGTCATTTCAAGAGGGTATGTCCTTTGAGCTCAAGTGTATCACCTCACAGAAGCCTAACTGGGTTGCCTCTTTCGAACTCTCACGGGGGTATGTCCTTGAGCACTCTGTGTCACAGGAGGACATACCCTACCCCCGTAAGATGACAGGGACTTAACACCTCACAGAAGCTTAACTCTTGCGTACCCCCGTGGTATGTCATGTCATATCCCGTGGTCCAGCACTCCCAGCATGGTGACTGAGAGGGTCAGACCGTGAGTGTGTGAGGCCGGCCGCTAGAAGAATACCGGGGAACCATCCGCAGCAGCAAGAAGCGCCTCAATTTCTCCTCGCTCTCTCTCCCCCCCCACTCCCCCTGCTCCCCTCTCTCTCCATCCGCCCCTCTCTCCCTGCCCTGCGCTCACAGCATGGTGACGAAGGGGCAGACAGTGAGTGTGATGGGGTTGCTACGAGAAGCCCGGCCCTTGGAGGAAGACGGGGAGACGATCCGCAGCAGCGTGTGGTCATCCGTCCACGAGGGCATGGTGCTGGAGCCTGGAGCCCCTTCCTTAGCCTCTTACCCCCCACCCTCTCCCCCCCCCACTCCTCAACCCCCCCATCCCTCCGCCCTATTTTCCTGCTTATGCCTCCCAGTATGGTGTCGGATGGGCAGACAGTGAGTGTGATGGGGCTATTGAGGGAAGCCCGGCCGCTGGAGGAAGACGGGGAGATGATCCGCAGCAGCGTGTGGTCCACAGCCCGCGAGGGCATGGTGCTGGAGCCTCTGCCTGTGCCTGTGAACGTGGGCGAGCTCTTCCTCTGCCTCTTACCTCCCCCTTCCTCTTCTCCCTCCCCCACCCCCCAACCCCTCACCCCTCCGCCCTGCTCTCCTGCTTTTGTTTGACAGCATGGTCACAGAAGGGCAGACAGTGAGTGTGATGGGGCTGCTAAGGGAGGCCCGGCCTCTAGAGGAAGACGGGGAGACGATTCGCAGCAGCGTGTGGTCCACAGCCCACGAGGGCATGGTGCTGGAGCCTCTACCTGTGCCTGTGAACGTGGGCGAGTTCTTTCTCTGCTGGGGCTTCTTCCCGGTCTACTTCCCCACCTGGGTCTCCGGCTTGCTGGTCTCAGACAACCAGGGGATTTTCTAGCAACCACAGCCCACGAGGGCATGGTGCTGGAGCCCCTGCCTGTGCCTGTGAACGTGGGCGAGTTCTTCCTCTGTTGGGGCTTCTTCCCGGTCTACTTCCCCACCTGGGTCTCTGGCTTGCTGGTCTCAGACAACCAGGGGACATTCTAGCATGCACAGTGGGTGCTGAATTGAGTAACTGAGGAATGGAATGGAATGCAAAGAAGGGCACGCTGATAGAACCTCTGCCTGTGCCTGTGAGTGTGGGCGAGCTCTTCACCTGGTGGGGCTTCTTCCTGATCGATTTTTTCTGGTCTCTGGTCAACTGGTTTCAGTCAGCCAGGGATTCCTTTCCTTTGAGAAGCAAAGGACAATCTCCACTGACCAACCTGGTAAACCAGGCCTGTTCTGGCGGCCATTATAAAGTTCGAATCGAAGTGATGTGGTTCAGAATATGTAAGTTTTTGAAAGTGTGTAACACTTTCTAAAAAATGTGTATTGTGAGAGTGTAGCGAGGGCCAACGCAGCAAAGGCAGCGTCGAAGCGCTACTCACCCTCTTTTGCCGAAAGCTTCGTGCATCGACAACCAGCCCCCGGCACCGATTCCTGCACTCGCCAACGACACCGATGACTCAGAAAACGATCATGGTGAGGCTCCTGCCAATATTGCTCGCCATCGCATTCTCGCCCCCGCCACCCCTCTTCCCCCCCTTGGTCCCACGCTCGCAGCAACTACCTTCATGCGTAAGGGTGTGCGTGACCAGGCCGAAGTCTTCATTGCTATCCAAGCGCACCTGCAGCACATCGCCTTCGAGCTGCAGCACAGCAACGTCACCGGCGCACTCAACAACGTGAAACACATCGAGACGCTTATTAATAAGCGTTCCGAGGTGCTTCTCGTGGCGGATGAGGCCGGCTTTGAGGTCGCTGATGGCTTCCGGCTCTACCAGTCCAAGAATGTGCTGACGTCCCGTTCCTACAAGCTGGCGGTCGCCGACGTGGCTGCACTCAAGCGCGCACACGCCATCTACCCCCGTGGTGGTCGTCCCGGCGGCCGCGACGGAGAAATGGACCTCAAAGGCTCCCCCCCTCTCACGTGCCAGCAGCCACGCTTCAAGGGCGTGTGCTTCCGCTGTGTCCAGCTAGGTCACATGGCTAATGCATGCCCCATGGGCGGGCGTGGAGCACAAGGCCCCTCACCGGTGGTGTGAGCGGGGGTAAGGGCGGCGCCCTTCGCCAATATGCATTAAGCATATTGGGCTGCACCGGGGGTGCATGGCTGGTGGCCGGCCTTAGGACAAGGCAAATGGTCTAGTAGACTAGGGTAGCCCTAGGGGCAGAGAAGGCCGTGGGCCTAGAACCTTGTGTTATTCCATGTATGAAACATGTATGCCGTTATGGCGCATTGAAACTAAGATTGCAAAAAAAAAAAAAAAAAACTTTTGCAAGGCCTTGATGAAAGAGAGAGAGAGAGAGAGAGAGAGAGAGAGAGAGAGAGAGAGAGAGAGAGAGAGAGAGAGAGAGAGAGAGAGAGAGAGAGAGAGACACACACACAAAGAGAGAGAGAGAGAGAGCATAAGAGAAAGAGACAGAAAGAGAGAGAGAGAGAGAGAGAGAGAGAGAGAGAGAGAGAGAGAGAGAGAGAGAGAGAGAGAGAGAGAGAGAGAGTGAGAGAGAGAGAGAGAAAGAGAGAGAGAGAGAAGGAGAGAGAGAGAGAGAGAGAGAGAGAGAGAGAGAGAGAGAAAGAGAGAGAGAGAGAGAGAGAGAGAGAGAGAGAGAGAGAGAGAGAGAGAGAGAGAGAGAGAGAGAGAGAGAGAAAGAGAGAGAGAGAGAAGGAGAGAGAGAGAGAGAGAGAGAGAGAGAGAGAGAGAGAGAGAGAGAGAGAGAAAGAGAGAGAGAGAGAAGGAGAGAGAGAGAGAGAGAGAGAGAGAGAGAGAGAGAGAGAGAGAGAGAGAGAGAGAGAGAGAGAGAGAGAGCATAAGAGAAAGCAAAGTGAAAGAGCATAAGAGAAAGAAAGAGAGAGAGAGAGAGAGAGAGAGAGAGAGAGAGAGAGAGAGAGAGAGAGAGAGAGAGAGAGAGAGAAATAGAGAGAAAGAGAGAGAGAGAGAGAGAGAGAGAGAGAGAGAGAGAGAGAGAGAGAGAGAGAGAGAGAGAGAGGTGGCGAAGGCTCGAGCGCTGAAGGGAGAAGGCATGAATATCAGCCTTGCCCCCTTTGCATTTGAACATGAGCCACTCTCTCTTTGCCAACTGAATGGGAGCTATGCCCCCCCTGCAATTGATTATGACACATCCACCATTAAGGCAAATTATATGGTCTCGCTCACTTGGGTACCCATGTGATTCTTGCCACCCGACCCTTCGGTCCAGCAGAATCGGAGAAAAAGGAGACTACTTTTCCTTCATATCGCTCCCGTTCGGGCTTGCCACTGCCCCGTTTGTCTTCACACAACTGATCAAACAACTGGCAAAGCGATGGCAGGCAAGCGGCGTGCGGGTTGTTCCATATGTCGACGACTTACTATTTCTCTGCAACTCCCACTCGGATGCACGCTCGACCTGCGCAGCTGTCGTTTAGGACCTGAAGGCAGCAGGTTTTGTTATAAACGGCAAAAAGTCACATCTACACCCCTCGCGCCAGATAGCTTTCCTCGGCCTGGAGATTGATGCCGCCCAAGGCACCTTTTCCGTCGGACTCGAAGGTCGAGCACAACTTTTTGCTTCACTCCAAGCCCTCATCACCCAGGGACAAGAGGGACGACCGGTTCCTATCCGGTCCCTTACGAGAATCACAGGAATGCTGGCCTCCATGAATCTGGCGTTGGGCGCTACAGCACGTGCCTTTAGTCACGAGCTCCTTCGACTTATTGCCGACGCCACCTCTTGGCACGCCAAGGCACACTTGTCGTCGACAGCAATGCAGGAGCTGCATTTCTGGCTTGCGCAGTTCGACAAGTTCAACGGAACCCCATTCCATCTCAGTCACCAGTTCAACGCCGTCATCCACGTCGATGCAAGCGCACACAGGTGGGGCGCCACCCTGACACAACTTCCCTGGACGCCCATTGAAGCTAGTGCTCGCATGCCCGAGGAACTACTGCCCACCTCCAGCACTCGACGGGAACTCGAAGGAGTCTTATGGGCTCTCCAAACTTTCGCCGCCCGCATACCCAAGCGCCACGTGCTCGTTCGGGTAGACAATCAAGGGGTGGTATTCATCCTGCGCAAAGGTCGATCGTGCCACCCCACACTTACGCTACTATGTCAAGCAATAATTCGCCTCTGCATGGAACATCAGACAAGGCTAGCTGTCGAATGGATCCGGCGAGAGCTGAATGCGCACGCCGACGAACTTTCAAAAATCCAAGACCATAATGACTACTCCCTCCAAGCCCCGTGGTTCCGGCTCTTGGATCGCCGCCTGGGTCCCCACTCTATCGATCTCTTCGCAAATGTGCACAACGCTCAGCTGAAGAGGCTTTGCTCCAAGATTCCACACCCTACGGTCGCAGTATTTGACGCTTTTTCATTCAGCTGGCAGCACGAGCTCGGCTTCGCGTTTCCTCCTCCCAACCTCATTCCAGCCACATTACGATACGCTAAACGCAGACACGCTGAGGTGACCTTGGTTATTCCCGAGTGGCCGGGAGCATCATGGTGGCCACTCCTCCAACAGGCACCTGACGCCTGAGTGCCAGAAGTAACGGCACACATTCCCCTCACCCACAGCAGCCAATGCCTACGCCCCAGCACACACGCACTCGCTTTCGCAGGACAAGGCTTTCCTCATAGTCAGATGATTGCACTGCATGTCACATATAAAAATTAATAATAATTGTACTCTACGCTATACCTTTTCAAGCATTATAACGAAGCTGCAAACGCAACTACTACACGCAATCACCCATGTCCGTGCCCCTTCCACCATCCGAACATATGAGCCCTACTGGCTCAAATTTCACTCCTTCCGCATGAAGGTGAAGTTGAGCTACCTACCTGCAACGGATATGACCTTGGCACTCTACCTCATTCATGCACTAAATCACTAGGCCACCACATCCGCCATTTCGCTTACATGCTCCACCTTCGCCTTCGCGCATCGCATGACTGGCGAGCCCTCTCCCACGACTGGACCATTAACACTACAAGTGCGCAAATTTGCCAAACGTCATGGCCCGCGCCCCACCCGGAACAAGGAACCTTTGTCGCTCCACCAAGTGCACACTATGGCCCGCCTCTTTCTGGAGTCCACCCGGCCGGCCGAATACCAGAAAGGACCCATCCCCATCCTTATGTTCGCCGCCTTCCTACGTTACTCCGACCTTGTCAGCCTCCAATGGCATGACATACAGTTTAAGCCTGAGGCGATGTGGCTGCTCATCCCGCACTCCAAGACCAACCAGGAAGGCAGGGGCACGTGGATTCCGATCGCCGCCACTTCCGGCCCATACTGCCTGGTACGCTGCACACGACACTTTCTTCTCCTTGCGGGTCACACCTCCACCCCACACGAGCCATTGATCCGAGTCTTCGGGAACGTCAGCACGGCAACTCCACAGGACCACGCGCCTTCGTACACCACCATCCAAAACTGGTGACTTGAAGCATTCACCAGGGCCGGCCTCGATAGCGCCCACCTCGGCACCCACTCCTTCGGCAAGGGCGCTGCTACAGCGGCAGCCAGCCTGGAGATATCCAACCGGTTGTTCAAGCGACTCAACCGTTGGCGCAGCGATAACGCCAAGGAGCTCTACGTTACCATCGCGCATGACCAAATCCTTCAAGCCTCCACGCAACTCCAATACGCAGCCACCGCCCCCACGCCCAATCAGCACCAACTATCTATTGAGCACCCCCGCCAACCCCTTCTGCACATGTCTCAGAAGACCCGTATGAAATGAAGCACGCTGCCTTTACAAGAGGACCTAAGCAAGCTTTCACAATATGTAATATTTTTAAAGTGTGTAACACTTTCTAAAAAATGTGTATTGTGAGAGTGTAGCGAGGGCCACACAGCAAAGGCAGCGTCGAAGCGCTACTCACCCTCTTTTGCCTACAAATGAGGGACGTTAGGCCATTCGGCCTCACCCACGCTCTTCATTTCTATTTTCTCTAGTTCAATTTCCCCACCCACCCACCCTCTTGAGTGTGTAGTTCGTTGTTGGATGAACCATGTATGTTTCCCAGATGAAATGAAGCACGCTGCCTTTACAAGAGGACCTAAGCAAGCTTTCACAACTGTGGCCTAATAGAATTGAGGCCGTTGCGGCAGGCTATGTCAAACATACTTGTGTGTGTTTAGTAGACTACACAGGGTTTTGCCATAGAGAGTACAACCCACTAGATATATACCCTTGTATACTCTCATTCTAGTCAACACTTCTAACTCTGAGATGGTATTTTGAGTAGGTTAGGTCCCCCCCGCCCACCCGCGCTTCCGCCTTAGGTCCTAGCCTGCCCCGTCGCCTAGCGCCTAGCCGCCCCAAGGGCCCCGCTACCCCGTTGCCTTGCTGGCCCCACGGCCCTGTTCCCTAGCGCCTAGCCGCCTGTGGCCCAATTGCCCTGCCACCTAGCACCTAGCAGCCTCGCTGGCCCCGCGGCCCCGTCACCTAGCGCCTAGCCGTCCGTGGCCCAGTCACCTTGTCACCCAGCGCCTAGCCGCCCCGCTGGGCCCGCGGCCCCGTCACCTAGCGCCTAGCCGCCCGTGGCCCCATTGCCCCGCCACCTAGCGCCTAGCCGCCCCAGTGGCCCCGCGGCCCTGTCACCTAGCGCCTAGCCACCCGTGGCCCTGTCGCCCCGTCACCCAGAGCCTAGCCGCCCTGCTGGCCTCGCAACCGCGTCGTCCCTAGCGTAGTCGCCCTGCCGCCCCGTCGCCTAGCTGTCCCATCACCTAGCCGTCCCGTCGCCTAGCCACCCCGTCGCCTAGCCGCCCCGCGGCCTCGTCGTCCCGCCACCCCGCAGCCCCGTCGCCCCGCTGCTCCACGGCCCCGTCGCCCAGCCACAATTGCGGCCCCGTTGCCCCGCTGCTCCGCGGCCCCGTCGCCCAGCCGCCGCGCGACCCATCGCCCCGCTGTTCCGCGGCCCCATTGCCCAGCCGCCCCGCGGCCCCGTCGCCTAGCCGCCCCGCGTCCCCGTCTCCCAGCTGCTCAGCCGTCGTGTTTCCCGGTCCCCGCCCGCTTCACCGGCCCTCTCCATTGTCCTGCACCGTGCCCTACCGTGCTGCACCGCTCAGCACCGCACTGCACCGTGCCCCACCGCACTGCACTGCTCTGCACCGTGTGGCACTGCACAGCACGGCGCCCCACCGCACTCCACCGCACTGCACCGTACAGCACTCCTCCCCACTGCTCCTCGTCGCACTGTCCCACCCTTCACCGCCTGTTCGCGGCTGCAGCGGCCTTCATGGCAGACTCGGTGCTGCGCTTTGACACGGAGGGTCAGCCGGTTGAGTTCGACTCATGGCTCGTCGACCTCCGCCGTCACCTCACAGGTCAGCCGCAGGTTGGCCACTCCCTGGCCGTCCACATTGATGGTACGCTCCCTGCCCTGACCCCCCTGTTGCTCTCCCCGCTGACCCCACATCTGCTAACCGTGAGTCCGCCGCCACTGCTGCCCTTGCCCGTGCTGTCTGGCTGTCGCGTGACGCTGTCGCTCCGCTCGCGATTAGCCATGCCCTCCCCCTGTCTGAGCGCCCCCGCTTTAAGTCAGTAAGGACTGCGCAGGAGTTCCTATAGGCTGTTATCGAGCGTTATTCCGCCCCGTCCTCTGCCTCTGCCGGCTGCCTGATCCTTCCCATGCTCTTCCCTGATCTCGCGTCTTTCCCCACTGTCGCTAACCTGGCCACGCACCTCCGCACGCTCGATGCTAGCTGGTGCGCTGCCTGCACTGAGGCCCAGCTTCATGTGTTCCAGCCCCCTATCTGCTCTACCCTTTACCTGCTTGCCACCCGCCTCCCCGACCGCCTAGCCACTGCCCGCGACCACTTTCTTAGTCTGCACCCCGCTGACCTCACCCTCTCTAACTTTGTCAACACCCTGTCTGCCATAGAGACCCGTCAGCGCTCTATCGCCCAGTCTAGCGATACTGCATCGGCTCCTATCTTTCACGGTTGTGCCCCCACTCACTGCACTTAATCTGACGGTTCTGCGACTGTCGCTGAGACAGCCCCTGCTGCTGAGACCGCCGCCGCGGTGGCCGCAGCGCAGTCTCGTTATGGTAAGGCCCGCTGCCCCAAGCCTAGGTGCGGCGGTGGTAGTGGAGGAGGGGATGGAGGTGGTAGTGGAGGTGGTTCATCCGCTGGCGGTAGTACTGACGAGGGGGCTGGGGCTGGTGCCTCGGAGCAGCAGCCCCAGCGAGAGCAGGAGTAGGCGCCACAGCTTGACTAGCAACAACAGCAGCAGCAGTCGCAGCGGAGGGTCGGGCGCCTCCCGCCTGGGTGGCGTGGCGCCGGTGGTGGTGGTGGTCGCGGTGCTCGTGCGCGTAGCTCGTCGTCGGGTGGTGGTGCGAGTGACAGACGCTGCCAGTACCAACTCCAGACCGGTCCTCGTCATGGCCTCGTGTGCGGTAAGATCGGTCATACCCCCACTCGTTGTTTCCGTCGCCTGGACGACCTGTTTCATTTCCGCTTCGGCCCCGCGCCGGACCTCCCTGACTGGCACAGTCTGCTCCACTGTGGTGTTAGGGTCTTTGATATGGACACGGATGAGATAAGCTCTGCATTGTATGTGCTGTATGTCGATGAATCTAGTGTGACTGGTTCCTCTTACCCCGTATTGCCTAGTGTAGGTATGCCCAGTGTGCCTAGTTTAGGCTCCCCTGCAGCGTCAGGTGTAGAACCCTTTGCTTTGTTTAGCCTTGGCTCCACCCTAAGTCCTCTGCCTCCAGCCGCCACTGCCGCACTCTCCTTCACCCTCAACTCCGGTGCGTCTCGGTGTTTCTTTCGGGACCACACTACACTTACGCCGCTCCCTGCCCTAGTTGCCCTTGCAGACCCTTCCTCAGGTCCGGTAGTCGCCCGTAGCTCCACCACCTTCCCCGGCGGTTCCTTCGGGCTCTTTTACACGCCTGCACATCCCCTCGTTCTCTCGGAAACTAGTTGGTGTCGGTTGTCTTCAGGACCTCGGCGTCACCACTACGTTCCCTAGTCGCGAGAGGTATGCTGTCTGTATCAAATCCGCCACTGGTGCCCCCCTCACCACGTTCCCCCAGGACCCGGTGTCTGGCCTGTTCACGCTGGACACCGCGTTCCCCCCTGTTGGGATGCCCCCCCAGGTGGCAGCGTCTACCCAGGTTGCTGTGGCTTGCTCGTGTCAGTCGCTTACTCACCTGTTGCTTCTGTGGCACCACCGCCTAGGTCACCCCGCCCTTACACGTCTCCGTCACATGTCTCAGCACGGTCTTGTCTTAGGTCTCTCTGTATCGTTCCTTGCGCTCCCCTCCTCGGCAGCGCCTCCGTGCACCCCCCGCGTCGAGGGCCGGCTCCGCCATGCCACTCACTCCTCCTTCTTCCCCCCCACCACCGCACCGTTACAGACCCTGCACATCGACATCTGGGGCCCCGCCCCCGTCCATCGGCCACGTCGTGAGCGTTATTTCCTAGTGCTTGTCGACGACTACACTCGCTACACCACCGTGTTTCCCCTGGAGCGGAAGGCCGACGTACCCGACGTTCTTATCCCGTGGCTTGTCTCTGCGCGTGTGCACCGAGGTCTCCCTGTGTTGCGTCTGAACTCCAACCATGGTGGCGAGTTCGCCTCTGGCTACCTTGGTTGCTTCTGTCGTGCGGAGGGCATCACCCAGACGTACACCCTGCCGGACTCCCTGCAGCAGAATGGGGTAGCTGAGTGACGCATTGGTTTGATCATGGAGGTTGCTCGTACCTCAATGATCCATGCCGGTGCACCCTATTTTCTGTGGTCGTTTGCCGTTCGCTACGCCGCCCACCAGCTTAACCTGTGGCCGCACCTCGAGCAGCCGCAGGTTTCGCCGACCCTTCTTTGGTCCGGGTCTCCTGGTGACGCGTCTGCGTTCCATGTCTGGGGCTGCTTTGCTCACGTTCGTGTCTCTGGCATGGACAAGCTGACTGCCCGCACCGTCCCCTGTGTCTTTCTAGGTTTCCGACTCGACTCGTCTGACTGCACTTCTACCACCCGCCGTCTCACTGTTTCTTTCACTCCCGCGACGTTACCTTTGACTAGTCCGCCTCCTTCTACCATCGCTTTCTCTACTGTGGTCCCCCGGTCACTCCCCCCCAGTTCCTGGTTCCCCTCCCTCCCCCGGTTGCCCCTGCTTCTCCCCCTCCCCGCCCTGCCCCGTTTGGTGTGTCTCACGTCAACCCCCTCCCATCGGTTGTCCCTGCCGAGGGGTCTGCTGACTCTCGAGGATCGGCAGAGTCCCTTCCCTTGCCTATCCTCGCCCCGGTCTCTCTTCCGCTGTCGCAACCGTTGCTGTTACAGCCACGGCCGCCTCCGCAGAAGCCGTCCCCGCCACCGCAGCAGCCGCCGTCGTCACCGCCGCTGGGGTCTGTGCGTTCTGGGGGTCCTTCAGAGGTTCGGCCTTCAGTTCTCTTCCACACGGCCCACCCCTCTGCCAGTAGACCACGGACTCTCTGCTCTAGTTCTGGAGGAGGCTGTAGAGCCTAGTGGTCTTTACGCAGAGCTGGTGGGTTGCCTCATGTACCTGATGACTTGCACTCGTCCAGATCTCGCATACCCTCTCAGCATCCTGGCCCGCTTTGTGGCCTCCGGCAGACACCGACCACAGCACTGGTCGGCAGCTAAGAGGGTTTTGCGTTATCTAGCAAGTACATCGGGCATGGGGCTAGTGCTAAGAGGACGCGGACCAGTGGTCCTTACCGGGCACACAGACGCTTCCTTGAGCAGACGGCGCCGAGACTCTCAACTGCTCCCAGGGTTACAGTTTTAGCCTTGGTGCAGGTGCTGTCTCGTGGAGGTCCACCAGCTCGTCGTCTGTTGCCCAGTTTAGCTGTGAGGCTGAGATCTACGCTGGTGCCATGGCGGCACAGGAGCTCCGTTGGCTGGCTTTCTTGCTCACAGACTTAGGTGAGCGGCCTAGCTCTGCCTCGGTCCTATACGCTGGCAACATGGCCATGATCCTCCTGTGTCAGCAGCCTAGACTCAAGGGCAGGGCAAAGCACATCCAGCTGCGGTACTTCCTCATGCGCGAGCTACAACAGCGTCGCCAGGCCCGCGTAGTACACTTGGCCTCCGGTGCCAACACAGCTGATAACTTTACGAAGGCGCTTGCGCCTAAAGATCATCAGCGGCACTGTGTACAGCTCGGACTCGTTCCTGTAGCACCTCATTTGCTAGGACCTTGATTGGGTATAACTCTTTATATATTATCTTGACTGGTCTTTAGACCCCCACCTCAGAGGTTGGACTAGTAGTGCTTCTCCGAACTGTTTGTCTCTCATCAGGCTCTGCCCCTATCTAGTTTAGGGGATGTGTCAATGTGTCAAACATATTTGTGTATGTTTAGTATACTCTATAGGTATTAACATAGAGAGTACAACCCATTAGATATATACCCCAATATACTCTCATTCTAGTTATTCGTTCAACTCTGAGATACAACTCTGAGATAAGGGACTTCGCCGAATTTTTGGTGTTGCGTGTGGTGTGTTGAGGAATAACTCGGGTGTGGGAGATTTAGCCGGAAAAACTATGCTTTGTAGGGGTGTGGGGGGGGGATGACGAGGAATGTCAGACGAAAAAATACCCACTACCTGAATTCTCAGATGAAAGTCTACTCCTGGTCTAAACTTTCAGACGAAGGCTTATGGCTTATCTGGACGATCAGATGAATTGATTTAGCCCGTCCAAAAATCAGATGAATGGAAAAAAACATGTCTGATTTTCAGACGGATTTCGACTGAAATCTGAGACCCACCCTGGGTCTCCCTTACAGTAGCTACCACGAATCTTTTGGAAACGCAAGGAACATTCTGTATTGAGCAACTTGGTACTGTAACTTGTTGGGCTGAGAAAAGCCCTTAGGATCTTTCCAGAGACTAAGTCCCAGTTGTAAAGACTTGAGTAGTGCAGCGGAAGTTGAGGCAGTTGAACCCTTGTACTATATGAGAACAAGTGATTGATTAAAGAAACAAGCATACAGAAATATATAGAAAGTAGGAAAGTAAAGCAGTTGTAGAATACAGTTGCAGGAGCGGTTTATCGAGTCGCACAGCGACTCGATTGTTGTTTCGGTTACCATCCCCGTTGTTGTAACGGTCAGTCGCAACCTCCAGTTGCGACCCTTCGAGTCCCTTCGCGTTCTTTGTCCGCCCCCTCGTGTAACCTCCGTTCACTCGCGTACCCGTTGCGATCTTCCTCGAGTGTAGTGTTACACTTCAGAAACGCTTAAGTCTTTTGAGATATTTCCAACATAACTAATAAGGCACAATTTTGTTTGTTTGCAAACTTACTCCACAACAGTGGCAGACAATCAATCCGCCTTTTTGTAACAGAGGCGCACCCTGTTCATTGACTTGCGTTGACTTCCTTTTTCAGCCAGCCAGTCATACCCCTCCTCAGCACCTCCTCAACAGGCTCCTCTATGCCTCTACGCCTTGGCTTGTTGACTCACTTAACTTGCGTTGACTCCTCTCGTCCAGCCAGCGAATCATATCCTTCAACACAACCTCAGCAGTCTCCTCCGGCTCTCCCTCGGTGAGGAAGTGCCATGCATCCTTGTAAAACCTCAACGCCTTGTCCTCACTCCTCGCCTTGTCGTACAAAGCCTGACTCCTCCTCTTCCTCAGTGACGATGTCAGCATCCCCATGCAGCAGCAGGAAGGGCAGGGAGGGAGTCCACGACACATCATGCACTGAACCTACCTACCCTCTACGCTTTGGCTTGTTCACTTGTTGACTTGCGTTGACTCCTCTCGTCCAGCCAGCCAATCATATCCCTCAGCACCTCCTCAGCAGTCTCCTCCGGCTCTCCCTCGGTGAGCAGGTGCCACGCGTCCTTGTAAACTTTAAATGTCTTGTCCTCACTCCTCGCCTTGTCATACAAAGCCTGACTGCCCTCCAGCTCTGTGACGATGTCAGCATCCCCATGCAGCAGCAGGAAGGGCAGGGAGACCTGGTCCAGGGTGCGCTCTGCGTCTTGGCTGGCATGCAGCATGGTGAGAGCTGTTCGCATGCGCGGTCGAGCACGGTAGGTGTAGGGGCTTGCTGCTATCTGGGAGGAAGTTTTGGGGGGAGGGGGGAAGAAGGAAGGGGGAAAGGGGAGGAGAGTGTAGGGGCTTGCTGCGATCCGGAAGCATGGGGCAGTCGGCAGGTGTGGGAGAAAGGGAAAGGTGAGGGCAAGAGCAGGCACGTCGACACTCGACACTCGACACTCGACTCACGACTCCAGAAATGCTGAAAGAGGCTATGCTTCCCCTCATCATAATTGCACCTTGGCAGCACTGTGCGTCAGGGGTACAACCACGACTGTTTCCCAGGGCTATGCTTCCGCTCATTTTTCGCTCATACGGCTATGCCAACCGTATGAGTGAAAAGCGAGCGTTTCCTTTCCCAGCGCTTTTCGAACTTTGTTGGTTCCCGCATCTCACCTTCTCCTTTCGAGACGCCTCAAAAGCGAACTTTGTTGGTTACCGCATCTCACCTTCTTGAGCTTCCCAGGGCAGTGAATGGAGGAGGCGAGGACGTCAGCAGAGGCTCGTCCCTAGGTTGACCAAACAAATACTGTTTTCAGATTCTTGGCCCGAATCTCACCGTTTTCAGCTTCTTAGCCCAAATCTGCCGTTTTCAGCTTCTCTGGGTAGCAAATTGATGGAGGATGTGACAGTGTCAGTAGAGGTTAGTCCGTAGGACCCTATTAAGCTGACCAAACAAATACCTTCTTAAGCTTGTCAGAACAGCAATTGGAGGAGGTGAGGTGAGGCCGTCAGCAGAAGTCAGTCCACGGGTCCCTGTAAGTTGAGGATCGACCCAAGTTAACAGGGACCTAGGGACCTAGGGACCTACGGCCCTAGAGGCCTAGAAACAAGGACCATTTTAAGCTTGTCTGGGTCACGAATAGATTAGTTGACGATGTCAGCGGAGGGCACAGCACTATCTAGGTGGTTGCTGACCTCTGTGAGCCCAAATCCCATCTGCCATCTCCCTGTGATTTCAGTCTGCTTCTGCAGCTCACCTTCTTAAGCTTCTCTGGATCGCGAATGGAGGAGGTGACAATATCAGCAGACGGAACTATCTGCCATGTGGGCAGCACATACGCCAGGCCCTGCACCAGCCGCACTAGGATGGCTGGAGGCCGCACCTTGGCTGAAATCTGGTTGTGAGGGCACAGGAGAGAAGGGGAGCCTTAGGAAGGAGAAGGTGCAGCCCGAGGTGCCTGAGGTGTGCGTGTGTGCAGCCTGTGGTGCGCTTGTGTGCAGCCTGTGGTGCGCGTGTGTGCAGCCTGCGGTGCGCGTGTGTGCAGCCTGTGGTGCGCGTGTGTGCAGCCTGCGGTGCGCGTGTGTGCAGCCTGCGGTGCGCGTGTGTGCAGTGCAGCCTGTGGTGCACGAGTGTGCAGCCTGCGGTGCGCGTGTGGCTGCACCGTCGCTTCCGCAGCTTAAAGCACACGGCAAGGCCTTAAACAGCCTTAAGGAAATCGCTCGTGGCTGCATTGTTTGTAAAGGAAACGAGGCATATTGGTGTGCCATTGCCACCTCGGTCCACTAAGTCTTGGTTGTGATAACACCGGAGGCAAAGAGGAAGGGGGAAAGGTTTTTGAGTAAAATCAAAAGCACACACCCAATCGGTGCATGGGTCCACTAAGATTTAGTTGTGAGAGGGGGAAAGGGAGTCGGCGGAGGAAGACAGACAACGAAACACACCCATCGGTACAACACGTGTCTTTTAAATGAACGAAAACTAAACTTGTTGATTGTTAAGTACAATACCTTGCACATGGGAGCCATGAAAATGGCGCCATCCCATTGGTCAGGCTGCTTGCGATGGATGCACAGAGCCACTGCGCCACCCATGGACTCCCCACACAGGAACTTGGGTATGCTCTGGTGCTCTGGTCGCTCTGTAAGAAAAGGGGGCAGGGGAAAAAGGAAACGAGTAGGAGGGGAAGGGGGGAGTGAAAGAAGGACTGGGTGCCTCGTGAGTTGACAGTGTGCCGCTGCGCCGCCCATGGACTCCCCACATATCAACTTTGGTATGCTCTGGTGCTCTGGTGCTCTGTAAGGGAAGGGAGAAGAGGAGAGGGAAAGAAGGGCTGCTTGCAGCGAATGCACAGAGCGACACTGCCCTGCCCCACACATGAAACCAATTCCCCACACATGAACGCACTCAAGGATTAAGCCTCGAAACAGGATTGAGAACAAATGTGGGGTCATTCCTGTTGTTGTAAGCATGGTAAGGTGTTTTTGAGAATTCTCAAAAACACCCTGCAAATGTGGGGTCATTCCTGTTGTTGCAAGCATGGTAAGCCGTCGAACTTACTGAGCCAAATGCATCTTCTCCACATACCAGCTTTACCCATCCTCCTCCACCCCCCTATCTCTGTCTACTCACGCCATCCTCCCAACCAATGAGCAACCTCATCCGCCCTCCCCTACCCGTCCCCCCCCCCCCCCAACGCACCCCTGATAGGAGCAAAGTACGCCAGGCTGTCATCCACGAGTGTGTTGAAATCAGGGATGAACACGCTGAGACCCTCGGACCTAGGGTACAGGGGGATCACGTGTGGGAGCAAGAGGCGAGAGGGTTGAATTGAAATCAAGAAAGAACAAGCTCAGGCCCTCGGACCTGGGGTAGAGGAGATGGGAGCAGAGAATGGACAAAAGAGGGGCAGAATGAGGCAGGCGATGGAAGGAAGGCTAACATCCACTATAGCGGTGGAGTAAGGGAGGAACGCACTCAGGCCCTCGGACCTGGGGTAGAGGGGGCGGGAGCAAAGAACGGGGGCGGGCAAGAGGGGAAGTAAGGCAGTCATTGACCATAGTGGTGAAATCAGGGATGCACGCACGCAGGCCCTCGGACCTGGGGTAGAGGGAGGATCAGCAGATAGTCAGGAAGAGCAAGAGATTCAGATTGAGTTGTGTGTGATGAGTCTATTTTTTAGTCGACTCAAAGATAGAAGGGGGATCAGCAGATAGTCAGGGAGAGCAGGGGATTCAGGGAACGTGCGATAGAGGGGGGATAAGCAGATAGTCAGGGAGATCAAGAGATAAAGGAAAGTGCGATAGACCTGGAACGTGCGATAGACCTGGAACGTGCGATAGACCTGGAACGTGCGATAGACCTGGAACGTGCGATAGACCTGGAACGTGCGATAGACCTGGAACGTGCGATAGACCTGGAACGTGCGATAGACCTGGAACGTGCGATAGACCTGGAACGTGCGATAGACCTGGAACGTGCGATAGACCTGGAACGTGCGATAGACCTGGAACGTGCGATAGACCTGGAACGTGCGATAGACCTGGAACGTGCGATAGACCTGGAACGTGCGATAGAGGGGGGATCAGCAGATAGTCAGGGAGATCAAGAGATAAAGGAAAGTGCGACAGACCTGGAAAGTGCGACAGACCTGGAAAGTGCGACAGACCTGGAAAGTGCGACAGACCTGGAAAGTACGGCGTACCTGCCATGCCTCTTGCTCTGACGCCAGGCGCTCTGCTGTGGCTGGTAACTGCAAGGTGTTGCAGAAACAGCACCTTGGAATGTACGCCAGACACACATGTCTTACCTGCCGTGCCCCTCAAAGTCGATGCCGTACACGCCATATCCCTCTGACGCCAGGCGCTCTGCTGTGGCTGCAGGTGAAGGATAGGGAGGGAGGAGAGGGAGGGAAGGGAGGGAGGGAAGGGAGGGAGGGAAGGGGAGGGAGGGAAGGGAGGGAGGGTGGAGAGAAAGAGGAAGGAGGCTTGTGAATGCAACCAACCAGCTCGAAGGTCGGAAAGCATAGTCGATGACGTGTGAAACGAAGGAGATAGGGCAAGAGACAAAGGATGCGTGAGTGACCAAGGCAGGGTGGGAGGGAGGGGGGAGGCACCTTGGAAGTAGGTGGTGCAGTCGAAGCCATATCCTGCAGGCAACAGCATGGCACGAAGCAAAGATGGGGTTGAATTACTCTAACCACAACGACGAAACAAGAAAACGAAGAAACCGGCAGTACAAGAAGTGAGGACGCGCCGTGATGCTTGAGAGTTCTCAACTTCTCGAAAATCGCCTTGAATAGTGAAACGTACCGTGGAGGAGGAGGATGAGTGCTTTCAGTGGTCGGTTGGCCGGTACCCACGACGCGGACATTAACTTCAATCCGCGCGAGTTGGTGACTCACTCCTCCCTGTGCTCCACGCCTAGGTTCCCCCTCCCCCCTTTCCCCCTTCATTCCCCCCTGCCCCCACCTTCCCAAACCCCCCCCCGCCCCCCCTCCACCCCCACCCCCGGTACCCACGACGCGGACAGTAGTTTCATTCCGCGCGAGTTGGTGACCCACTCCTCCCTGCGCTCCACGCCTTGGTACCCCCTCCCCCCTTTCCCCCTTCATTCCCCCCTGCCCCCCCTTCCCATCCCCCCCCCCCCACCCCCTCCCCCACCCCATTTTTGGGATGGAGTGATCGGCGACTGAGTGGCGTACCGTGTAGGAGAAGGACGAGTGCTTTCAGCGGTCGGTTGGCCGGCACCCACGACGCGGACATTAGTTTCATTCCGCGCGAGTTGGTGACCCACTCCTCCCGGTGCTCCACGCCGTTACTACCACCCGTAGCATCATTGACTTCAGCGCTGGCGTTCGCTGCTTCAGCAGCCATGGTTTCGAGCTACACACGAGGAAGCAGAGGAGTCCGGCAAAGTGGTGGTTCCGCAACGACGGACAGGTCTGTATGAGCAGTGGAAAATCCGCCGTGAATTAGAAGCTCAGAAGTAACGACGGACAGGTCTGTATGGGCAGCGGAAAAAATCGCTTTGAATTACTACTAGTAGTAGATACTCTCGAAATGAGAAGTGTGCAGGAAATGAGACATTCGAGTCTCGACTCTCGCAACAAGGATGGAAAAGAACGCCAGGTCTCGAGTCGAGAATACAGGTACGGCGGTCGCAGTATAAGAAGGGCCGTGCCTGCCACGCCATTCGCGCTGGGCTAAGGTGGTGCATCGTCTGGAAAGCTCCCTCGAAACTACCGATCAGGGGCCAGATGTACACTGCTCGGAGTTCCCAAGGTTGGGATTTGTCCAACCTTGAAATTGTCATTCCTTCCCGCCAGGCTTCGCTATAAGCAAATGGAGACGAAGCAACCAGCGAAGGAGACCCTCGCAATGATATCCCCGTTTCAGCATTGCGCCGCTACTGCTCTGTGCACTTCCCTCCTGCATTTGATCTGACGTATGGCAAGGTCTTAATTTCTTTGTCCAACGTTTTTTTCTTAAGAAGAGGGATGCAAATACTTGGTTCTCGTGTGAATGGTACACAAATTCCATCCAAATAGTCAATATCCATTATCCAGTATTGAGCCACAGATACTTTGGTATAGGTTTCTTTTCACCGTACTTGTTTTCCTGAACATTACTTCAGTAGCGGGAATAAAGCGTATACCAAGGACGGAGCATAAAGCAAGAGGTGGTCGCCAGGGGATTATCAGACAGGTCTAGGTTCCAAATAACGGACTCTTTATCGCGTTCCGATAAAAGCTCTTTCGTCTACCCGTGCTTCTGACATGGACGAGCGGCGTAAAATAGTCGTCTGTGATAATGGCAGCGCGGTAAGGGTGCACCGTATACGTCCGAATGCCGTAGCTTAACTCGTAATACGACAATCAATCTAGTGCTCGTTCGCCTTGCTGTTCGGCTACAACTTGACGCTCCGTGCTCTCTCTCTCCCGTGCGACCGTTTTGTCGCAGTCCATCAAGTGCGGGTTCGCAGGCGACAATTTTCCCGTCGCCGTCATTCCCAATGTCGTCGGGCGACGCCTCGTCCGCCTTGACGAAACCTCCCAAGGCGAAGCACCCCCTGTAAGCCCGCTTAACCTCCCAAGGCGAAGCACCCCCTGTAAGCCCGCTTAACCTCCCAAGGCGAAGCACCCCCTGTGAGCCGTCTTACTCGCCTGAAGCACATATCCGTTGCGTCAAAGGTCTCACCGTCACGAGGTGACTTTTGAGTCGACTCAAAAGTCAACTCAGCACATATCCGTTGTCTCAAATGTCTCATATTAGTGGGTTATCATTCGTGGTCGAATAAAATCCCTCTCAGAGTCGTCTAACCACCTTATCTCTGCTTCCAATTTTTCTTGCTCGTTTCAGACACCGGGTAACTCCTCACCTGATTACCCTGTTAATCACATCACATACCTGAGCGTTGTCGGGGTCGTGAGATGGAGCAGAGCTATTTCATTTCACTCTAGGCTTTTGAGTCGGCTCATGACGTCCCATCCCATCCCGATCAACCCCCAGCCCTACTCCCATGTGCAATGCCTCCTGGTGGGATTGCAGTGCACGGAGCAGGGCCCAGGGCAGGGGGGCCGCAGGGTGGAGCTGAGCTGCCCCATTCTCAACATTTTCCCATCCTACCGCATCTAATCCCACTGCACCGTGCAGAGCATTCTGGTGGGATCGCAGTGCATGGAGCAGCAGGGCCAGGGGGGTCGCAGGGTGGAGCTGAGCTACCCCATTCACAACGGCGTGGTGCAGCGGTGGGACGACATGGGGCACGCGTGGTGCGGGACTATGCGTTCAACACCTTCCTACCTACCTCAACTCAACTCCGGGCTTATCCCAATATCATCCCTACTTCCATGTGCAGAGCATCCTGGTGGGATCGCAGTGCATGGAGCAGCAGGGCCAGGGGGGCCGCAGGGTGGAGCTGAGCTACCCCATTCACAACGGCGTGGTGCAGCGGTGGGACGACATGGGGCACGTGTGGGACTACACGTTCAACACCGCTCTTGGCATCGACCCCAAGGAGAGCAAGATCCTGCTGACGGACCCGCCACTGAATCCAACCAAGAATCGGCAACGCATGGTATGGCATCAAAGCCTTGGTCTGCAGTGCCTCAAAGGACGACATGGGGCACGTGTGGGAGTACACGTTCAACACGGCCCTTAATATTGACCCCAAGGTGAGCAAGATTCTGCTCACCGACCCGCCACTGAACCCCACCAAGAACCGGCAGCGCATGGTAAGCCTCTCAGCCGAATGATCAAACCCAGTTGCCTTAGATTGCGGCGTGGTGCAGTGGTGGGACGACATGGGGCAGGTTTGGGACTACACGTTCAACACGGCCCTTAATATTGACCCCAAGGAGAGCAAGATTCTGCTCACCGACCCGCCACTGAACCCCACCAAGAACCGGCAGCGCATGGGATGGCTTCGTGGGAAATACTTGCATTAGCTTTGCATGGCACAAGCCGTCCAAGGACGACATGGGGATGGGGCACATGTGGGACTACACGTTCAACATGGCTCTTGGCATCGACCCCAAGGAGAGCAAGATCCTCCTCAGGGATCCGCCACTGAACCCCACCAAGAACCGGCAGCGCATGGGATGACTTCGTGGGCTTTACCTGCACTAGCTTTGCATGGCACAAGCCGTCCAAGGCAAGGACGGCATGGAGCACGTCAAGAACCTACAACAGCGCATGGCATGGGATGGCGTCATGGGATTTACTCACTCTGGCAACGCATGGTGGTACTTACCATCAAAGGACGGCATGGGGCACCTGTGGGACCACACATTTCATACGGCCCTTACTATCGACCCCTTACTCTCGACCCCTTACTCTCGACCCCTTACTCCCACCCCTGCAGCTGCAGATGATGTTTGAGAAGTACAACTTCGACAGCCTCTTCATTCAGCTGCAGGCCGTGCTGCCGCTATACGCGCAAGGTACGCGCATTTCAAAGCCCGGGGTCCATTCGAAACCTCGACGAGAAATATTCAAGGTATGCTGCTACGCGAATCATGCGGTCCATTCGAAACCTCATGAATCGCCTGGAATCCATAGTGCTGCGGCTGTATGTTCAAGGTACGTGTGCTTTCGCTCGTTTCCTCTCGCTGGCCTTGTACCACACACACACACACACACACACACACACAGGCACACACACACACACACACACACACACACACACACACACACACACACACACACACACACACACACACACACACACACACACACACACACCACATTGAATTCACTTCAGCTGTGTTTGTAACACATTGTGATGCTGTATGTTCCCAAACGCCAGTCTAAAGCGTATTCTTTACATGCAACAATGCATCCCCCCTCTTCTCCCTCCCCCTCTCCCTCCCCCCTCTCCCTCCCACTCTCCCTCCCACTCTCCCTCCCCCTCTCCCTCCCCCTCTCCCCCTCTCCCTCCCCTTTCCCTCCCCCTCTCCCCCTCCTCTCCCTCCCCCTCTCCCCCCCCCTCTCCCTCCCCCTCTCCCTTATCAGAAACTGAGAACTTGATTGATTAAAATGAGCAAGAGCATACATCCTTAAGTACCGAGCATCGGAGAGGATGGGAAGGGATAAGGGAGAATCGGAGGGAATCCCAAGGGAATCCTCCCAAATCGTGGGGATTTGGGATGGATTGGGTTGGGATAGGTTGGGGATGAAAACATAGCTACACCCAACCTAACAAATATGAGTATCCCTAAAACCAACAAAGTGTCAACACACAAAATTGTGCCAACCGAATTGCAGCCTATCTCTAACACACCCCCTAGGCTGCAACGTCGGAAGCCGTAGGGACGCCAAGTCCCATGGTACGGAGGAGACGATAGTGATCACGGCGTCCAAGAGCCTTCGTAAACAAGTCGGCGAGGTTGCAGTCAGAGGAAATATGCTTGACGCACAACTGCCCTCGCTGGACGAGCTCGCGCATGAAGAAGTGTCTCAATTCGATGTGCTTGGTTCGTTGGTGGAAGACAGGATTTTTGGTGAGGTGGATAGTGCTCTCGTTATCACACCACAGAGTCGGGGTCTGCTGAGGATACCCGAGCTCAGCCATGAGGTAGGTAAGCCATCGAGCTTCTTGGGCTGCCATGGTGCCTGCGTATAACTCAGCTTCGCAAGATGACAATGAGACGGATGATGAGCGTGTAGATCGCCAGCTGATGACACCACTGCCAAGGGTGAAGCAATAGCCTTGGGAAGAGCGGCGGTCAGCTTGATCATCAGCCCATGAGGAGTCGCTGTATCCCTCGAGGTGAGGAGGGGTCGTGCCACCGAAAGTGAGGACGTAGTCCTTGGTGGCTTGGAGGTAGCGAAGGACGCGCTTAGCAGCCGACCAGTGGCGATTGGTGTATCGACCGGCAGCAACGTAACGCGAGAGCACACTGATGGGGTAGGCGAGGTCGGGCCTTGTGCACATCATCGCATACATGAGTGATCCGACGAGCTCCGGGTATGCCTCATCACAAGGCTCAGGCGATGGAATTGATGGAGTGGTCAGATCATGCTGCAAGGGAAGGGGAGTGGCCACTGGCTTGGCGTTGTCCATGGCAAAACGCTTGAGGACGTTGTTCACATAGAACTCTTGAGAGAGAGTGATGGTTCGAGCTTCGCGATCCCGCGAGATTTCCATCCCAAGGTAGTTCTTGAGTTCACCGAGGTCCTTCATGGCGAGAGCGTCCCCAAGAGCTTGCTTAACAGCTGCCAGCTGATCGGAGTCCTTGGAGACGAGAATCATGTCGTCAACGTAGACAAGGATGAAGAACGGGCTGTCGTTCTTGCGAATGAAGAGACTCGGATCGGCTGAGGAGGGGTGGAAGTCGAGTGACTCGAGGGTTGCTTTCAGCTTCTTGTGCCATTCCCGAGGAGCCTGCTTCAACCCGTAGACTGGTCGATTCAGCTTCCAGACCGTGCCGGGTGGAAAGGGTAAGGGAAATCCTTGAGGACGTTCCATGTAGATGTCCTCGGGGAGATCCCCTTGGAGAAATGCAGCAGAGACGTCCATGGAGTGAACGTCAAAGTTGCATCGAGCAGCGATGTCCAGCAGGGTCCGAAGTGTGGGCAGTTTGGCTGTCGGAGAGAATGTGTCGAAGAAGTCCAGGCCCTTCTTCTGCGTGAAGCCTTTTGCACAGTATCGCGCCTTGAAGACTGGGAGTTCGCCAGGCAGCTGCTTGACGCGAAAAACCCATTTGCCACGGACAATGTTAACTCCTCGCGGAGGAGAGACGTCCGTGAAAGAGTTGTTGCGAATGAATGCTTCACACTCCGCGATCATGGCTGCGAGCCACTGGGGGGAGTGTGGTCCAGAGATGGCTTCATCATATGAGTTCGGGGTCGGGATGGATGGATTTTCCGAGAAGTTAAGAGTTGGAGCGTCGGCAAGGTCGGGGAAGAGATGGCAGAGCTGACGGATGGCAGCATTGATCTCAATCAGCTCCTCATGCCTATCCTCCAAGAGGCCAGGCATGGATGCACCCCCGGCAGGAGGAGGCGGATTGAGGGAGATGCGAACAGAGAGGGCGAGAGGCGGAGCGGGACCATGAGAGCGGGTGCGGTGAGCAATAGGGACAGGAGAGGAGGGAGGTGGCGGGGGAGCAGGTGGGACATCGACATAAGAGCGTCCGTGGCGACGGCGACGATAGGTGATGGGCGAGTCGGGAGGAGAGGTGGAGGTTGGAGGCGGAAGCGGAGGTGAAGGCGGGGAGGGAGGCGCGGGGGCAGGGGGAGCCACAGAAGGAGAGGGAGGTGGAGGGGCAGCTGCAGGAGCGGGTGCAGGGGGAAGTGCAGGCGCGGGCGGAGGTGAACGGGCAACTGAGCCAGTGGGCGAAGAGGGGTGAGAGAGAGTGGAAGGAGATGGGGAAGGTGAGAGTGAGGGGGCCGCAGGAGCAGCAGAGGGAGGAGGTGGGGTGGGTGAAGTATCGAAATCGGCCCACACAAGCGAAGGTGGAGCGGTGGGGGGTGGTGAAGAGAGGTAAAAAAGGCGACTCTCGTCAAAGACGACATCGCGGCTGCGAATGAGCTGATTGGTGGAGAGATTGAGGAAAAGGTAATCGGGAGAGTCCAGGTTGTGGCCGAGGTAGACACAGGGTTGAGCTTTGGGTGCAAATTTGCCGCCGTGGGTGCGACGTTCCTGAGGGTTGAGGAGGACATAAGCTGTACACCCCCATACGCGGAGAGGACGTGCACTGGGCTTGGTGCCGGTCCACAGTTCAGCGGGAGTGATGGCAGGCCGAAGAGGGTGAGGGTGAAGGTTGTACAGCAGCGTGGCATGAAGGAGGGCGTAACCCCAAAGGGAAGGTGGTGCACCAGCGTGAGTGAGAAGACAGCGAGCGATTTGCACGAGAGTGCGATTGCGACTTTCGGCAATGCCATTCTGCTGCGGACTGTGGGGAAGGGTGAAGGTCTGGCGAATGCCTTGGGAGGCACAGAACGCTTGAAGGGAATGGTTTCGAAATTCGCCACCGCCATCGGAATGGAGGCACTTGACTGAAGTGCGGAAATGATTTTGGGCTTGTCGAAGCCATGCGATGACGACATCTGGAACAGCTGCTTTGGAGGAGAGTAGGTGGACGGAGGCATAGCGAGAGTGATCGTCAACGAGCACTAGGAAGTAAGAGTGCCCGCCACGAGAGCGGACTGGAGCTGGGCCCCAGACGTCCATGTGGACGAGGTCAAGCGGGGCGGCTGCAGCAGAGGGCGAGGAAGGGTGAGGCAACTGGCGTAGTTTGCTTTGCGCGCAGTCCAAGCATGGAGGAGCGGGAGAAGTGGAGGGTGGAGGAAGTGTGTCGGGCAGGTGAAGAAGCAACTTCTTAGACGCAAGCTCGGAGAGCATGCGGAAGTTGGGATGCCCAAGACGATGGTGGTAAAGAATGGTTGGATCGGTGAGCTGACGGCAGGAGCACGATGATGTGGTGGAGGTAGAGTGTGCTTCTGTGGAAGATGGAGGTACTTGGAGTGTGTAGAGGTTGTTGGCGGTCAGTGTGAAGCGTGCAAGTAGGGCATTGGTGGTGGGCTGAAGGAGATCACAGTGATTGGAATGAGCTGGGAAGATAGTGGTTACCCCTGCTCGTTGAATCTCATGTTGTGCAAGTAAGTTGTGCCGAAGAGTGGGCACGCATATGCCAGTGACTGTGCCAGATGGGAAGGCTGGGCATGGAAGAGTGGAGGAACCATGGGCGACAGTTGTGAAGCTGGAGTCAGCGCCCAGAAGAGGAATGGGTGCTTGGTATGGTTTGAAAGACTCTTTGTCTCGGAGGACCGTGTGGGTTGCGCCACTGTCCAGGACGAATTCAAGTTGTTTAGATGGTGTTTGTGGAGACGTCGAGTACTGGGAACTGGTTTCATTGATCATGGGAAGGCCAGGGAACAACAGGTTGAGACGAACATCAGGACTAGGGGCATGAACGGCTGAGTCCTGACTATCCTGTGCCTCAACCTGGTTGAGCTGGCGCATGCGAAGCCAGTTGGGCGGCTTGGAGTTGATACCATTCTTGGCGAACCAGTCGTCGTCCTTCTTTTTGAAACAGGTGGCGAGCGGGTGATTGGTGCCGCCGCACACCTGACCCGCACGGGGTCCCATTTTGATGACGTAAGGACAGGGTGGGTAGCGGTTACGAGTGGGTGGCGGATTGGGACGCGATGCTGGAGCCGGGACAGGAGCGCGAAGCGCATTTGCACGAGCCTGCGCAGTGTTGTCTTTTTCAGCAGAGAGAAGTGCGGAAGAGACTTTGGCAAAGGTTAGCTCTTCTGGCGGGAGATGGAGAAGCATGGAGCGGGTGACATTGTAAGAGGGGGTCAGCCCAACAAGCAGAGCTGCTGCAGGGGCTTGCTCTGGGAAGACAATGCCGAGTTGCTTCAGCTCCTGATGAATCCCTTGAATTTCAGCGACGTAATCTGCCATTCCAGGGCACTCCTCCAGACGCACTTGAAACATGCGGGGGATGAGGATCGCCACCCCCACAGCGGTTTTGTTGAGGAAGCGGTCGTTGAGGTACTCCCAGATGGCGTGCGCAGAGGGGTAGTTATGGTAAGTTTTGACGAGCTCGGAAGGGGTAGTGCCGACGAAGACGCCAATGAAAGCGGCGTCGGCTTGCTCCCACACGCTGTAAGATTCCTCATACTTGGACATGGATTCCTCATGGGTTTTTAACTCTTCCCCTGTGGCTGTGGCCGAGAGCTTCTTGGGAAGGATCGGCATCTTTCCTTTGCCGCGATTGAGGAGGACATCCTTGAGGCAAATCCCCTCAATTTTGCGGCTTAGGAGATGCTTATCAACCCCATAGCTCCACTCCTTGAAGTTAGGGCTTGAGCCATTTGGGTCGAGGCGTAAGGGAGTGATCGGGTTTGAGAGAGACGCGGAAGGATATGCCATGATGCTCCAAGGACCCTTTCTCCGCGCGTAGCGCAGCTCTTAAGTCGCCGATAGGCACTTCTTTGCGGATTTTCAACACTCGGAGAAGAGGAATAGCCGATAAAGAGAGAAATCTGAACGCCAAAAATCTATGGAAACCCGCGATGTGCTGCTGCAATCCCGCTGCTCCGCGACCCCCCCTTTTCCCCTTCGCCGCTGCCCCCTTTCCGCTTCGCCGCTGCCCCCTTTCCGCTTCGCCGCTGCCCCTTTTCCGCTTCGCCGCTGCCCCCTTTCCGCTTCGCCGCTGCACCCCCCCGCTGTTGCAAGGGCGACGGGCGACAGCCCGTCCAGCTTCGACGAGCAGATGCGGGGCGACGGGCTCAGCCCGATCAGGTGCGACGAGCAGATGCGGGGCGACGGGCTCAGCCCGATCAGGTGCGGCGAGCAGATGCGGGGCGACGGGCTCAGCCCGATCAGGTGCGACGAGCAGATGCGGGGCGACGGGCTCAGCCCGATAAGAAGCGCCGCGCTGAGTTGAGGCGACTAGAAAAGCTTTGCGTCGTAAGACGCAAATGCTAGGCTCCAACGGAGCGAGAGGATCAAGAGCCGCTTAAGCGGAAACGAGCTCTGATACCATATCAGAAACTGAGAACTTGATTGATTAAAATGAGCAAGAGCATACATCCTTAAGTACCGAGCATCGGAGAGGATGGGAAGGGATAAGGGAGAATCGGAGGGAATCCCAAGGGAATCCTCCCAAATCGTGGGGATTTGGGATGGATTGGGTTGGGATAGGTTGGGGATGAAAACATAGCTACACCCAACCTAACAAATATGAGTATCCCTAAAACCAACAAAGTGTCAACACACAAAATTGTGCCAACCGAATTGCAGCCTATCTCTAACATCCCTCCCCCTCCCCCTCCCCCTCTCCCTTTCCCTCCCCCTCTCCCTCTCCCTCTCCCTCTCCCTCTCCCTCCCCCTCTCCCTCCCCCTCTCCCTCCCCCTCTCGCTCCCCCTCTCCCTCCACTCTCCCTCCCCCTCCCCCCCCCCTTCCCTCCCCCTCTCCCTCCCCCTCTCCCTCCCTCTCTCCCTCCCCCTCTTCCTCCCCCTCCCTCTCCCTCTCCCTCTCCCTCTCCCTCCCCCTCTTCCTCCCTCTCTCCCTCTCCCTCCCCTCTCCCTCCCCCTCTCCCTCCCTCTCTCCCTCCCCCTCTTCCTCCCCTCTCTCCCTCCCCCTCTCCCTCCCCTATCCCTCCCACTTCCCTCCCCCTTTTCCCCCTCCCTCCCTCCCCCTCTCCCTCCCCCTCTCCCCCCCCCCTCTCCCTCCCCCTCTCCCCCCCCCTCTCCCTCCCCCCTCTCCCTCCCCCTCTTCCTCCCCCTCTTCCTCCCCCTCTTCCTCCACCTCTCCCTCCCCCTCTCCCTCCCCCTCTCTCTCCTCTCCTCTGTCCCTATCGTCAGGCTTCTGACCGGCCTGGAAGTGGATTTAGGAGAAAGTGCCATGTGTGCGAGTTCACCTGCGCTGCGCTCCTGACATGCAACAATGGAATCCTTTCTCTCTCCCCTCCCATCCCCTCCCCCCCCTCTCCCTCTCTTGCGCGCTGTCGCATGTCAGGCATTCTCACGGGACTCGTAGTGGACTCGGGAGAAAGCGCTACTCATGCAGTAAGCGCCGCTCTTCTCGCTCCTGCTGCTCCCCTCTCGCCCTCCTTCCCCTGCTTTCTCCTTTCTGGTTTTGAGTCGACTCAAAAGCAGACTCGTAGTGGACTCGGGAGAAAGCGCTACTCATGCAGTAAGCGCCGCTCTTCTCGCTCCTGCTGCTCCCCTCTCGCCCTCCTTCCCCTGCTTTCTCCTTTCTGGTTTTGAGTCGACTCAAAAGCAGACTCGTAGTGGACTCGGGAGAAAGCTCCACTCATGCAGTAAGCACCGTTTTATCTGCTCTCCCTCCCTTCCTCCCTTCCTCCCTTCCTCCCACCCCTGCTTTCCCTTTTCCATTTGCCGAGAACACCCCTGTTGCATTGCATAAGCGCCCCCTGCTTCTCAACCCACACCCCTTACTGTGCCCGTGGTAGAGGGCTTTGCCTATCCCCACCTCACTTATTGCATCAGCATAGCTGCACATTCATTGGCCTCATGCTGAATGCAAACACATTCATTGGCCTCATGCTGAATGCAAACACATTCATTCATCTCCCCTTCTTTGCACCCTGACCACGTGCCTGTGGTGGAAGGCTTTGCCTATCCGCACCTCACCAAGCACATCAGCATAGCTGGCAGGCAGATCACATCCCACCCAGTAGTTTTCTACTCCCCCCCCCCAACCCCCCTCCCCCCCACACCCACCCGGTGCTGTTTCTCCAGGTGCCTGTGGTGGAGGGCTTTGCCTATCCGCACCTCACCAAGCGCATCAGCATAGCCGGCAGGCAGGTTTAGACACATGCATCCCGCTTCATGTTTGAGCTCCCCCTGCTGTATAAACCCCACCTCTCCAGGTGCCTGTGGTGGAGGGCTTTGCCTATCCGCACCTCACCAAGCGCATCAGCATAGCCGGCAGGCAGGTTTAGACACATGCATCCCGCTTCATGTTTGAACTCCCCCTGCTGTATAAACCCCACCTCTCCAGGTGCCTGTGGTGGAGGGCTTTGCCTATCCGCACCTCACCAAGCGCATCAGCATAGCTGGCAGGCAGATCACATCTCACCTCATCGACCTCATGCTGCGACGGGGGTAAGTTTAAATATGATTGCTATGTCGAAATCAGATGTAGGTTTACCTTTAGTATTTTCCAGGTTGGTACAGCCTAGACCATGACCAGAAGAATTCAGATCCCCCACCAGCTGAAGCATAGATACATGAGCCCTATATAGAACATGAGCATAGTGTTCTAATGGCGAAATGTAGCCTTTTTTCTCAAAATTGCTCTGTCGTATCTCCCTTCCTTCCTTCCCCACTCAATTCCTCTTTTTCTCTTCAAGGCTCTTCCCTTTCCTTGTCATGGTCTTCTCTGTTCTCCTGTCTTCCCTCCCCCGATTTCCTCCCACCATGATCAGGCTCAGCTATTCTTTCAGCAAGGTGTTTTTGTAGAATTCTAAAAACACACCTACCCTGCTCCCCCCCCCCCGCCCCCCCGTGCTCAGCTACTCGTTCAGCAAGGTTTCGGATTTCGAAGCGGCTAGAGCCATCAAAGAGCAGCTCTGCTTTGTCAGGTCAGCACGGTTTGCCAGGTCAGCATGGTTTACCAGGTCAGCATGGTTTGCCAGGTCAGCTCGGTTTGTCAGGTCATCATGGTTTGCCAGGTCAGCACGGTTTGCCAGGTCAGCATGCCTCCCTCTCTCCTTACAGCTCTCCTGTTCCTGCTTCTAGGATCAACAGATTCCGTCAACAATGTTAGGCATGTTGTGGATCATCACTTTCCGTCAACCTTTCGATACTTTCGTGGACTGGAAAATCACCTGCGGCTGTGGTCGGTACTTGCTGGTCTCCTTTGCCTTGGGCGTTGCCTGTACCAGTTGTGATTATAAGCGGGAGATGCAACTAGCAGAGGACACTACAGTGCTGGTGAAGCAATTCACAGTGAGTGAGGGAGAAGGGGCTTCATGTTTTGAGACATCGTGATTGGGAGATGCTAGTGCAGGACACTACAGTGCTTGTGAAATAATTCACGGTGTGTGTGTGTGCACACATGAGCATGCGCGTGCACACACACACACACACACACACACACACACACACACACACACACACACACACACACACACACACACACACACACGCACACACACCGTGCGCGCACCCGCGCGCACGCAACACACACACACAACAGTCTCACATGCCATTCCTTTCCCATCCATCCAACACTGCCCAAATCCCTCCCCCTCTCATCAGCTACCTGATGGCAGAACGATTCGGATTGGTGCAGAGCGGTTCCAAGCACCAGAGGCCCTCTTCTCCCCTGTATGCTTCCCTAGCCTAGCCCTGATCTCCTCCCTTTCCATGCCTTCACCATTGCTCACCATATCACATCATATCACATCATATCACATCATATCACATCATATCACACTGTCTGCCCGTTCACCTTAGGCGCTCTCTGCACATAAGGTGGGATGTGCGAAGGAGTATGTTAGAGTATCTTAGAATGCTGCTCAAACAGTTCTTCGGTGTTATGTAAACAAGCCACAAGTGTATCTCGCCCTCATGGTGTGTATGTATGGTGGCTGTATAATGGACTCGTGCCATGGCATGTGTGGCTGGTGAGTATATGCCTGCCGTGCGGTGTGTGTCTGATGCATTCGCATGCATGCATGCATGGTGGTTACATGGTGGATTCGTGGCATGTATGGCTCGTGTGTGTGTGCATGCCATGCTACGATTCGATGTATGTTTGTATGGTTGGTGCATGTACAATGCATCGATCGCATGCATGCATGGTTGCTACAGGAGCTGATCGACAATGAGGGGCTGGGATTGGCCGACGTGATCTTCAGGACAATCCAAGATATGGACATCGACCACCGCTTGAGTGTAAGTGTTTCCGTTATCTTCTCTCCTACACGAATTGGGTGCAGGCTGATTACACTCACGCACGTACCTAGATCCTTCCACTCCTTTTTCTTGACCATCGCTGAAGTGTTAGCCAGCCAGCGCTTGAGTTTGAGCCGACCCATGGATGGCAAGCTCTCTCTGGGTTTGGGCTCACTTGTTTGAGCCGACTCACTTGAAAGCCTCACCCAGAGAGAGCTTGCCACGCAACCCTTCCTCATCACCAGTATTTTCTGTGCTGGTGCTGTTTCATGGCTCTACCATGTCTTTTTTTTTGCATTTTTTTCCCCCTCCCTTGCGCCACCAGCTATACCAGCACATCATGCTGTGTGGCGGCTCTACCATGTTCCCCGGGCTGCCCACGCGGTTAGAGAGAGAAGTGAGAGACCGGTACCTGAAGCACGTACTCAAGGGCAACAAGGAGGGGCTCAAGGTGGGTGGGCGTGTGGGGGGTTGGCTGGTTGCATGCTTGGAAGATGGAGATTAGGGGATGCATGTAGAGAGGGAAGTGAAGGACCGGTGCCTGAAGCACGTGCTGAAGGGCAAGAAAGAGGGGCTCAAGGTGGGTTGAAATTCTTGTGTTCAAGTTGGGTGCGTGTGTGCATGCTACACGGTGGATGTGAGGTATGAGGTCGGAGAGGGAAGTGAGGGATCGCTACCTAAAGCACATACTCAAGGGCAATAAGGAGGGGCTCAAGGGGCAATAAGGAGGGGCTCAAGGTGCGGATGGTTGTGCATGCAATTTTTTCCTGTGCATAACTGTGCAGGCACTTGTATATTCCTGGATTCTTTCATAACCAATCTGCCTGCATGTGTTTGCCTGCACCTCGAGAACTCACCCCCCGTTTTCATATTTCGAGCAGAAATTCAAACTACGGATTGAAGATCCTCCGAATCGCAAGCACCTTGTCTTCCTTGGTGGTGCTGTTCTAGCCGATATCATGAAGGTATGTGTGGCAACCTTATGGATATATATTTATATACATATAAGCTAGTTATTATTCGGTTTGCTCCTCCTCATCCTCTTCATTTTGTTTCAACTTGTGATTTGCCCTGTGCCTGCTCCCAGGACAAGCCCGACTTTTGGATATCGCGTGCTGACTATGAAGAGGAAGGCTTCAAGTGTTTGCGAAAATGCGAAAATGCGTAGAACACTACCCCATGTACGAAGTACTAACACCACTAGGCGTGGGAATAAAGTGGCGGTCGAAACTTGTATAGAATAGTCGGCTGTGTTTCTGAGTTTAGTAGGTGATTTGTAACGAAGAACCGTTTACCGAGATTTTTTGCCTTTCCCATCTGCTTCTCTTTTACGATTCACGACGCGAGAGGGACTTACAAATCCTCCTAAGCCTCTAGGAGCTTCGTAGGTCCTCAGATCCCTCTGATACCAGCTGTTCCCCGCGACTAAGCGATCGCAATCGTGTGCCTGCTTAGGCGACGCACAGAGGCCCACCTCCGCCTATTCCGCATAGCCCCTCTGCCGTCCGCCGCGCTCCTACTAAGCCGCGATCATTACTCCGTTTCTCGACCTTCGTCCGCCTATAATTCGCTTTCCGTCCATTTCACCGAGTTTTCCTTCGCTACGCCGCTTACCGAGAGTTCCGTAGGGCGAATTCCGCTAATTTCAACGCCTGCAGCCGTGTCTCCCGATCACTCCTCACCCACCGTTGCTGTGCCGTCAACCGAGTTTTCGGTCTGCTCATTTCCACGCCTGCTCTCGAGATTCCCGATCACTCCACACCCATCGTCCGCGCATACATCGTCTCCCCATATCCTCCATATCCCCGCTATGGGCCGACTCGTCCACTTCGCTAACATCCCTCTCCGCATCGTGCGGCCCGAGTCGCTGGAGAACATTAAGGAGGTGGTCTTTAGTGTAATAATTTGACAGGTGTTGCAGGAGACAAAGTATAAAACTGCAAACACGAACACTTGGAAAATCCTCAAGTGTTGGTCCAGGATCTTTACTGGAATGGTAGACTAGTAAGACAGCGGAAGTCTTGTAAGAATGAACCTGAGTATATGTTTATGCAGAAGATAAGTCTCAAAGTTCTCAAAGTTGAAATCTCAAGGTTAATAATAAAAAGGACACAACAAATATTTATAGCTCTAGGAAAGTACCTATTCGCTAATGTACCTGTTTGTCACTATCGCGCTATGCGCCCTAAACGATAATGAAGAGGTGCAACTGTTCGCGTGACTCAAACGACTGTCCTATGACGAGCGCTATTTGCTGACGTCATCCTACAGACTTATGTTCTACAGTAGGATTCGACACTCTCTACACCTAATCGACTTACAGAAATGCCAAGTATAAATTATATCACAACATTTAGAACCATACCGTCCGTTAACAAGGTAAGGGCCGAGGTTGACTTTTGAGTCGACTCTAAGGTCGCCTAAGGTCATCTAAGGTCATCTAAGGTCACCTTGGTACAATGTCATACCCGGCCGCTGGAGACCATTAAGTAGGTGGTCTTTAGAACCATACTGTCTCAAAGGAAAACTGAATAGTAATTGACTAGAAAGAATTGTACAAGGACATATATCTAAGGGTAGTACTCTCTAAGAAATGACCCTATACAGTCTATACAAACATTGTATATAAACATGTTTGACACACCCCCTAGACTGCATAGGGGCAGGTTCTGAACAAGCAGCTCAGGGCGGCACTACTAGTCCAGCCTCTGAGACAAGGGTCTAAAGACCAGTCAAAAGGAGTACAGACAAGACAAGAACAAGACCAGCACGGCACTACTAGTCCAGCCACTGGGAGAGGACACAAGTCCACTCTGAGTACATATGCAGGCATATATAGAATAGTACAAGGTCAAGGTCCTAGCAAGTGAGAGGCTACAGGAACTAGACCCAGCTGTACACAGTGCCTCTGATAATCTTTAGGCGCAAGCGCCTTCGTAAAGATATCAGCTGTGTTGGCACCAGAGGCCAAGTGAACTACGCGGGCCTGGCGGCGCTGCTGTAGCTCGCGCAGGAGAAAGTACCGCAGCTGAATGTGCTTCGCTCTGCCCTCAAGCCGAGGCTCCTGACACAGGAGGATCATGGCCCTGTTGTCAGCGTACAGGACCGGGGCAGAGCTAGGCCACTCACCTAAGTCAGTGAGCAAGAAGGTCAGCCAGCGGAGCTCCTGTGCCGCAATGGCACCAGCGTAGATCTCAGCCTCACAGCTGGACTGAGCAACAGACGACGAGCGAGTGGATCTCTAAGAGATAGCACCCGAACCAAGGCTAAAGCAGTAGCCCTGCGACGACCTGAGCGTCTCAGAGTCGTCTGCCCAAGACGCGTCTGTGTGCCCAGTGAGGACCACTGGCCTGCGTCCTCCTAACACTAGCCCAATGCCGGATGTACTTGCTAGATATCGCAAAACCCTCTTAGCGGCCGACCAGTGCTGTGGTCGGTGTCTGCCAGTGGCCACAAAGCGAGCTAGGATGCTGAGAGGGTATGCGAGATCTGGGCGAGTGCAAGTCATCAGGTACATGAGGCAACCCACCAGCTCTGCGTAGGGGCCGCTGGGCTCTACTGGCTCCTCGGGAACGGGAGCGGAGAGCCCGTGGTCTACGGGTAGAGGTGTGGGCTGTGCAGAGGAGAACTGAAGGCCGAACCTCTGAAGGACCTGGCGCACCAAATGTGACTGTGTCAGAGAGATGGTGTGTGCTGCTCTGTCCCTAGAGATTTGCAGGCCAAGATAGCGACGCAGCTCTCCAAGGTCAGTGCAGGTGTGTCTCTTCACCAGCTCAGCCTTCACTGAGGCCAGTGCGTCCCTGTCAGCAGTAGCAAAGACCAGGTCGTCTACGTAGACAAGGATGTAGAACGGAGTCTGGCCGGACCGCACAAAAAGCGAGGGGCCAGAGGACGACGGAAAGAACTGCAGGTCTGCTAGCGTGGCACGCAGCGTGTCGTGCCACTCGCGGGGAGCTTGGCGCAGGCCGTAGACCGGGCGCCTGAGAAGCCACTGGGTCCCAGGGGGGAAGGTATCACCGAAGCCCTGTGGTCGGCGCAGGTAGACTTGCTCGTATAGGCTGCCCTGAAGAAAGGCAGTAGAGAAGTCGAGGGAGTGAAGCTCGTAGTCGCGCTGTGCTGCTACATGTAGCAGCGCCCGAAGAGTGGTCATCTTCGGGGTCGGGGCGAAGGTCTGGAAGAAGTCCACCCCCTCGCGCTGACTAAAGCCTCTGGCCACGTAGCGCGCCTTGAAGACAGGCGGCTCTCCTGGGGGGCGCTTTACCTTGAAGAGCCACCGACCATCGACTACGTTCACCCCAAGTGGGGGAACTGCGTCGACGTAAGTGCCGGTGGACCTCCAAGATGCCATCTCCTGCTCCATGGCAGCTATCCACTGAGAGGCCCAGGGTCCCGAAGTGGCCTCAGCGTAGGTGCGAGGGGTCGGGATGTCAAAGGCGTCTGGGTCACCCTCAGGGACTAGGAGCATGGAGCAGAGATGGGGAGCGGCCTCAGAAAGGAAAGCAAGCTCGTACTGCTTGTCCTCTAGAACGTCACTGCCAAGGGCAGGTGCACCCCCGACGGATGGAGGACGGGCAGGGTCAGAGACCAGAGCAGTAGCGTAGTCAAGGCGGCGGGTAGAGGCGAAGTCAGCGACAGCAGCGACAAGTGCGTCAAGGCGCGAGACGGGAACAGAAGGGTCGGTAACAAGAGAGGCAAGAACCCGAGGGACAAGGGGACGAGCGGCACGGAGGTAGTCAGAGAACGGAGGAGGCGAAACAGCAAGGGACGAGGGAGGAGGGGAGGACGAGACGAGTGGGAACGGAGCAACATAGGGTGGGAGCGCAGGACACGAGAGACGGGACGAGCACGCGAGGGACGGCGAGACCAAACGTGCGACGGAGGTGTAGGGTCAGGAGACAGTGGAGGGGACACAGGAGGAGAACGAGGAGGAAGCCGGGCCGGAGACGAGTCCGGCGGCGGGAACACAGGACCGTAGACAGGAAGGTCAGCAGACGGCGGGGAAGACACCGGGGAGCGGTCTGGGGAGGGAAGGCCGAGCAGGCGGAGAGCGGAGACCGGCGGCGACTGTGCCGGAACGCTCGGACTGGCAAAGGGAGGACGACCGGTGGCGGAACCCTCAACAGCAGCACCCCCAGAACCAACACCCCCAGAGCGAGGACCTCCTCCAACACCAGCGGCACCCCCAGAAGCTGCAGGACGAACACCCTCCTCCACGCGAGCAGTCGCAGGGGCCAAGAGTGGCGGCGGCAGCGACGACGGCAGCGGCAACAACAGCGACGGCGGCGGCGGCGGCGACGGCGGCAGCGGCTGCGTCAGAGGGGGCGACTGCGACCGTAGAGGCGAAGACACCGGGGGAGGGGGACACGGCACGGATGGGCCAGGTGTACCACCAGAGCCAGCGGACTCCTCAACGGGGACAACCGACGGGAGGGGAGTGACGTGAGAGACACCAGACGGGGCAGGGCGAGGCGGGGGAGGCGCAGGGGCTACCGGGGGAGAGGGAGCAAGGAACAGGGGCGGGGCAACCGGGAGACCTCGGTGAGGGAAGCGATGGTAGAAGGAGACAGACTCGTCAAAGGTGACGTCACGAGAGTGGAGGAAGCGGTGAGACGGGGGGTGGTAGAACAGCCAGTCAGACGAGTCGAGGGGGAAACCAAGGAAGACACAGGGGACCGTGCGGGCAGTGAGCTTGTCCGTGCCAGAGGCACGAACGTGAGCAAGACAGCCCCAGACGTGGAACGCAGACGCGTCACCAGGGGACCCGGTCCAGAGGAGGGTCGGCGTAACCTGTGGCCGCTGAGAGCGTGGCCACAAGTTAAGCTGGTGAGCAGCGTAGCGAACAGCGAACGGCCACAGAAAATGGGGGGCATCAGCATGAATCATGGAGGTACGAGCAACCTCCATGACCAAGCCAATGCGGCGCTCAGCAACCCCATTCTGCTGTGGCGAGTCCGGCAAGGTGTACGTCAGGGTGATGCCCTCCGCACGACAGAACTGTCCAAGCTGACCAGAGGCGAACTCGCCGCCACGGTCAGAGTGGAGACACAACACGGGGAGACTGTAGCGAAGACGCGCAGCCACAATCCACGGTAGAAGAACGTCGGGCACGTCGGCCTTCCGCTCCAGAGGAAACACTGTGGTGTAGCGCGTGTAATCATCGACGAGCACAAGGAAGTAGCGCTCACCGCACGGTCCGGGGACGGGGGCAGGGCCCCAGACGTCCAGGTGCAGGGTCTGGAGGGGGGCAGTCGCAGGGTGCAGCGAGGAGGAGTGAGGAGCACGGCGGAGGCGGCCCTCGACGCAAGGCATGCACGGTGGCGCAGTCGAGGGAGGAAGGGCAGG